GGATCTCTCCCGATGACCTCTGACTGTGACATAGAGAGGGACTTATCTTAGAAGCCGACGTCGCTCACAGTAGAACGAAGGGCTCCTGTTGGGGTCAACCGGAGGAAGCTTTGTGCCATGTCTGTCCTGCATTTCAACATTTTGTGAGCGCTGAATGCAGATGACCTTTAAGTGTTTTGTATAAATTTTTTGCGAGAGGGCTTAAGACCTTTAAGATGAATCACAGATTTCATACACATTTTGCCGTGTGTGCGTTTTTTTACATTACAATTATGGATTAACGTCATGACTTTTGATGGAATTTCTCGTTAAACCTCCCGATAAACATGTTTCAAAAGCTGAATTTGACACTGAAGGAACTTAGTACTGCACCATGTTATTAGTTAGCACACAAGCTCATTATTTTGGCAATTCAAAGAACCGATTGTGTTTCTTTGTTATTGTGTGAGGGCTGCGACCGATGATTTATCAAATGAAGGATTAATCTGCCAAATGTTTTCACTACGCCCGGTCTCAGAGTTACATTTACATTTTCAACTATCTGCATCAGTCTGATCAACAGTGAGAACCCAAAGATATTCACTTTATTATCCCAAAAACAACAAAGATTTTATTTTCCATTTCAGAAGCTGGACGTGAATTTGAGGAAAATGTTTTTCTAAAATAATCTAGAATGATAAATCAGACTGCATATTTGCAGCTAAAAGTATTGTGTGTTGACTCTAAATGTAATTGTCTCCTTGTTGCTGTCTTAGATTTATAACAGTGCTCTTGATACAGTTGAGACAGTATATTTGTATTCCCTGATATCCCTGATATGAGCATATGTTTGGGTTCTGTAGCAGTTCATCTTCAGGAGGATAGCTGGAATAGAACAATTATTGTTACAGTATATTCCGAGTGTTCCCCTCTGCTGTACATTAAAGGCTTCTGGAGGATTGATGGCGTGATGGTTTAACATGACTTTATTAAATTAAAGTCATAAAAACACGCAGCATCAAAGGTTACTCATGGACGTCTGTTACATGAACGAGACCAAACGGGAGGTTCAGTGATCTCCTTTGGGTTGCTTGTCGAGGACACCAGCTGTTAATGTGGGTTTAACAGGAAGTGTTGAGAGGGCGTAACCGTGGAAACGCATGTTGACATGGACAGAAGCCAGAACAACATTGGTGAGCAGTGCAACAGTTTAGTGGTCGAGCAGAAGAAGAAAATGAACTTGGATGTAAATAATGGATGCCAGGGGATGATGGAAGAGTGAAAGGAAATCAAAAGAGAGACAAGAAGGGGTTAATTTGTTGTTTTTGTTTGTTTGTTGGGGATGATACAGAGTTTGAAGGAAGAGCACGCTTTTAGATACCACCTCTTCCTTCAGCGGTTATCTTCTGCTGTGCAGGAACTTCTAATTTTTTTTTTTTTTTTAATCAGACACCATCCAGGAAATTATTCTCTGACTACCATTTTATACTTTTCATTTGAGTTGGTAGAGAATTCTGTTTTGTAGAAGGGAAACAAAGGCGTGAAAGAAAGTTTAAAAAGGTTTGCACTCCTCCATTGAGAATGTATTATTCTTTAGCTTTGAGGTTTGTTTTATCTAACCGCTGCTTTTATTATTATTATTATTATTATTATTATTATTTACCTTTATGTTTTTGGAAGCTTGTGAGAAAAAAAAAGCAAAGTCCCGTCAGATGAATGAATCTTGATCGAATGTTCAGTGGAAGTGAAGTTGTGTCACTGATGTTACTGTGAACAAACGTCACTGTAGGCACAGATAAGAAGGTTCACGATGATTTCATGCTGTTGCTCCATCTGATCACTTTGCCGTTCAGGTAAATTGTGTGTATGTTTGCTGCAAACTGCTGTTTGAATGCTGTAACCATGACTGCTACAGAGCAGGAATTATTTATATCTTCTGCTGCTGGTGGGAAGAAAAACAATATATATATATGAAGAAGCTCAGATGTGTGCAGCTTTTTTCTTGAAATGACACTTTAACTAATGTGAACTCTGCAAAAGCTGATGTAGGTTTTGATGTTTGCCTACTGCCCTGTCAGTATGTGCTCTCTCTCTCTCTCTTTGTTCTCTGAATGCTGACTTGTGATTGGCTTTGATCATTGGAAGTCTCGTCTGAAGTAGCTGACCAAAGAGGCCTGCTGTGCTTTGTGTTTCCAGACAGTCCACTCTATCTTTATACCTGCAAATTCTCTGCGTGTGAGCGAAAGTGTGTGTGTGTGTGTAAGTAAATGCCTGGTAGCCTATATGGACGTGTTACCTTGTGTGTGTGTGTGTGTGTGTGTGTGTGTGTGTGTGTGTGTGTGTGTGTGTGTGTGTGTGTACGAGGGGGGTTTGGGGGGGGGAGAGCCATCGTGTCCTGTCTCGCCTCCTCTGTGTTGCAGGTACTGATTGTTTACATCTGTGTAAATATACTCTCACCTGTTCATGTGCGTGCAACGGTCAATAAACAGAAGCCTGTGCTTTTGGTTAAAGCCCTCGCTGTGATGGCCTCATTTATCTCCTTTCCTGTTTATTGGCTGTCTGTGTGTTTTGTGAGAATGTAGCTGCACAGCCCCTGAGATCATCCCATCCACAAGAAGTATGAAAGAAGATTAGTGCCAGAAGTGATTCGATTTGAGTTGAACAAATCTAAGCAGGGATTTTCACATTATGCTAAGAAATGAAATATGGCAAGCGCCCCAGGCCTACGTATCAAAGAGTGTCAAATATTCCGGAGGGATCAAGTCAACGTTAGGCTTGTCAAGCAGGGTTAACCTTAAGAAATGTAGGGTGCTGTGTTTCATGAACCACAAGCCTCACCAAATGGTCAGACGATAATGGGAAAATAATAAGACATTAAAATGACTTTATTAAGTTTTGATACGGTTACAAATGCTGGGGCTTTGTGTTTCAGCTGAACACTTACTCCTGAGATGTGTTGGAGACTTGGATCATTCTTTTACAATTTAAAAAAAGAAAATCAAGATTTGCTTTTAGAACTTTGTAGAAGAAATGCTACAATAACAACAATACAATAAGGATTTAGTTCAGCTTCCTTTAAGCGAACATGGACGTCGCCCCTTTTGCGGATGCATCACATAGTTTGGAACGAGTATAGGTGCAAACATAACATTTAATTGAGTCGATTGGCTCAGTAACTTCCCCAAAGTCGCAGATACACAACTCAGCTATTTGTTTTAAAAAAAATGGTTCAGTAATGTAGCTGTAAGGAAAGTACAGTCAGGAAGCCTATATTCTGCATGCTGGTTTTATTGTTTATACTGTGTCACGACACTCCTCTGAGCATGCTCACTCATTTTGTTGTAATGATGAGATAACATCATCCGCTTACGCCTCCACCACCAGTGTCTGGACTCCATGGGGGGGGATAGATCTTGCTGCCACTCAGGGCAGACATCTTGGATCTCCCTATCTACCCTGTAGAGTTCAGGCGCCAAAGATTCTGTGACAATCATTCAATATCACATGCGTAAAATGAATATTTATCTTTGATTCATTAACTCGTCTCTCCTGATTGAACTGCTACTGATACAACCCCGTGTAAGAGCTCGACAGGGGAGGAGCAGGAAATAAAACAAATAAATTCAGTGTCTGAACTCGTCATTTTTCAGACTCTTCGTTGCTTTTTGCTAAAAAATACGGGATTTTCTCATCTTTTCAGGCTCCTAATTATTAAAATGATAACTGTCCGAGAAGGAAAAATAAACAGATTGTGGTTGAATTTTTCATAACAAAAAAAAAAGCTGAAGATGTTTTTCATCATCCATAAGTCTTATCAAGTCTTAAATAAAAGTCTAAACCTGTTGTTATACATGGATTAGTCCTTTTTGGTTCAGCATTACATACTGTTTTGACCCTGAAGTATTACAAGTGTGATTTGTGGTCTATATAACTCTTTCTCAGGCTGTGTAATTACTGAACAAAACCTGTTTATCAGTAGTTAATTTAAAGACACCTTGTTAAATATACACATGGCTCCTCTTCTCATCTTATATTTAAACCTTCTTACTGATTAGAAAACACCCGAAAGCTTAAAATTCACACATTCACAGCAACTTTTTTTTTTTAATAACAACTGAACCAGAAAACCAGATGATATTCTCTAACTCTCACCCCCTAAAAATGATAATGTGACATATGTGTGATCATTTCTCCAAGATAAAGGGGGCTGGAATGGTATTATAAGAGAGCCGCACCCTGCACAGCAAAGACGGATGGCATTTTATTCTCCCAGGAACGATTTGTGCCAGATATCAGGTAACATGTTCCTAATATGGGCACATCTCCCTCCAGTCTGCTCAAGAATGTCTGTACAGTGAAGTTGCAGTCCGGGCAGGAAATAGTAGTTTTAAAGGGCCACTTAACTCCGGCTGAGTTCCTGAATTCCTTTCTCTCCGCACAATAATGTTGATGTGTTTGATAATGACAAATTCCTCAAATATTGTTCCATCTGGTTCTGAGATTTTTTTCCACTTGTGTAATGGTATTAAATGACCCAAAAGGTCTCAAAATCCAAGAAGAAAACATGTTATTAGAAAATCAGATTTCTCTACTCTATGATGTGGTTTACAATTTGCTTGTGCATTTGAATCCATCTCGAGAAAAAACTGCCTTATTGGGGAGCTTACAAATCTAAAACCTCTCCTTGTGCATTGTACTATAGTAAAACATCTCGTCCATATGTGGCTCTTATGAACATTCGTATTTTGTTGCAACAGTCTGGATGATATTTGTTGTTTTTTTTAGTCTTGCAGAGTCATTTGAGGACTCACACACAAAAAAACAATGAGCCCAGCATGTTCAGCATTGGATATAGGATCGCCAACATGGTAATTTTGTTGCATGAAAATGTCCTCATTACGCAGGAAAGCTATGACTCCTATTCTTCACGATGCCGTTTTTTTAGGGGTGCAGGGGAAATGAGAAGTTTGCTAAGAGAGCTTATGAATTCCTGGTTGAGGTCATTGTTTATAATCGCGTACAGAGGTTTGGCTCATGTCCTGAAGTTTTTTTGTTTTTTTCTCTGGTCCTTCTGTCTTTTAAAGCTGCGTTGCCTCCGCAGATTTCACCTCTCGGCCAAACCCTCCGGACGCACCGCTGCTGAGGAGTGAAACACATTCATCTGTTCGCTTTGGAGAGGTGAGTCCAAACCCACAGCTGTGTTCAGCTCAGATCGTCAGCCAGCAGCTCAGTCCACTTCAGGTGATCTTAAACAGGCAGAGTGACAGAAAAAGTAAATCAGACGACTGTTATTTGGCCCGTTTAAGCGCAGTTGTGCCAAATGCGTAACTGCAAAGATTTCTATGCAGATGGCGGTCTAAGTTACTATTTAAGTCAGTGACTTTCTCTGTGTGAACTTTCTAAAAATCACTGATATGTTCGAAGGATTTCTTTTAAACTTTCTTTTTTACCACTTGACCAATTTGCGCGCATCGCAACAGGTGACGTAAACTGTAATTGCACGTATTGTGCAGCGTCTATCTGCCTACATCTCCGTTAATCATCTGATTGTAATATTTGGAGCAGGTCGACTGTACTTTTAATTTCAATGTCAATCCGTTTTTCTGTCTTAATTTAGAGCTACTGGAGTTGAAGGTGTCAGTATTGATTATTTATAGTCAACCTCTGTTCAAGTACGCCTGAGAATATATCATGTTATGACTGCTTTATAAATTTGACACTTTTTCAGCAACAAAAAAACCCCAAAAGTGTATCAAGCAGTAACAATGTGCTTATGTCTTAATGTTCTTATCATTGTGATACAATCATACGTGTAAGTTTATACAAAAAATACACGTTTTAGATGTAGGAATTTAGCCTGCAATGAAGCGTTAACGGTGCAGCATTTCTACTATATCTCAACGCTAAATACTGATTACATATAACAAACAGATTATAATCTTAAAGAAAAAGAAAAAAAAAGAAAAATGGATAAAAAATGTGAAAAGAACCACTGAGAAGATTTTCTGTGCATGCAGAAGTTAAAGACACAGTATGTAATAACTCGATGCAGCTCTGCAATAGAAGATCTGCTCTGCGGCTTAGCCTAAAGCCCAGTTTATAAAGTGTCAGAATAATGTTGGACTGTCATTATTGAGCACATTGTTAAAGAAATTGCATTAAAATGAATGTTAATGTTGAGAGTCTGTCTGTTGTGTCAGATCTTTATCTAATTAAATCAAATGTTATGAATTCATATTAGTGTTACACTTATGTCTGAATAATGAACATTAGAGCCTAAAGGTACTAGTAGTAGCTTGAAACTGTTAAAACATCCATCAGCTTTCCTTCTCCTCCCTTCTGGTCTGGACAGCAGCCAAACCAAATGCATGATGTCATCACAGAGACCTGCAGATTTCAGTCCTCTCTCTGGCACACTGGACCTCCCTGTGGCTCCAGTATGACTTCATCATCATTCCCAACTCATAAAAACATTGCACTTCAACGAGCCATGAGTTAAACCACTCTCAACATCAAACAAAAGCGGTCTCTCTGGAGTTTTTAAAAAAAAAAAAATAACTTATTTATAGGCGGCAATTTATAAATCACTTTTTAGTCTGTGATCTCAGAAGTCTCTTTATTTTAAAAATGTCATGTAATACCAGCACAAAAGCAGTGGACAAATCCAACAAGGCCATTGCAGCTTATTCATTTATAAATCCTGCAATGTAATGTGTTATTTATATCTATCTTCAAACACTCTGTTGTGTGTCAGTGCCTGGAGCTTTGCAGTTTGTACAGACAGAGACTTTTGAAGAGAAGACAGTTTCATCACCTCTAGATCTGGGAGACAGGGGGTGGGGCTGCGGGGGCAGTGAAACCATCACCAGGGCTGAGTTAGATGAGCCAGCGGAGGTTCTCTCTCATGGATGAAAAGTGGGCTGAAATTGCACATGATTACTGCGTAGAAAAAAAGAGGATGTTTAGTGATAATGAATGAGGACAGATCTTAGTTTCTTGGTTTATTTATTTATTTATTTTTTAAGATTTATTTTTGGGCCTTTAATGGAGAGATAGGAAAGTGGATGGAGATGGAAATCAGGGAGAGATAGAGAGAGTGGGGAATGACATGCAGGAAAAGAGCCACAGGTGGGATTCAAATCTGGGCCGCCCGCTTGGAGGAACGAAGCATGGCGTGCTTGCACTAACCACTGCATTGGTTTCTAGTTTTAAATGGGATTGGGATAACTTTGATAAAAAAAATAAAAATAAAAAATTGCCAGGAATATCCTGATCCCAGCAGAGGGCTGGATTCAGATTGGGCAAAAAAAAGTGGATTTAAATTCTGGATAATTATTTTGAACAACTGGACCTAGAAAATCTGTAACTCATCCCAACTATGTGTGCTCAAAGAAGTCTACCACTGTGTCATGAACTGTCGAATATTGTCTTTAAGCCAACGATAGGAGGGTTGAGGAGGTGATATTTATGAAACTGTTTAACCTTTTCTGAGATCTTTACTCCCTAACATGTGTCAAAAATTGACATTCGCTGTCCACATAAAACTAAATGTGTATTGTCCCGGGAAAACATTTTAGCCATTCTCATGTTACGATTAAGTGTCTTCTTCTCTAAAAGTTATTGCTGCTCAAGTCAGCAGGAGACCCTGACTTTATTCTGTACTTAGAGGCCTGAGTCATGTGAGGGCCGAAGTGCTTGGTGTCCTACAGTGAAGGCTTTATCTCAAAGTGTGTATGTGTGTGTGCGGGTGTGTGTGTGTGTGTTTTAGCAACACTGAGTCATATCCCTTGGAGGGAAGTGTTAGTGTGTTGATAGAGCTCCCCTTTTGCCCTTTTGTTCGCACGTATTTGACCTCCAAGTGTCTGGGTCCACAGCCACGCCCCCTGATTTCTGAAGCAACTCACTGACCTTTCGCTCTCTTGTGATCCAGCTCCATGTGTTTACAAATGAGAGTGTTTGTGTGTGGCTTGTTGTCTTGACACTGTGTTTTTTTTTTGTATGTACATGGTGAGTCACCGAGTCCCCTGACAGAGATAGTGTGGCTGCATCTGTTTGCCCGCTAACCAGATCTGGAGGGTTACTGAGACACATGGACGTGCAGGGCGAGGGGTCATGCTGAGAAATGAGCTCTCACACACAAACACATAAGGCCTTTGTTGCCATTGGTAACAGTGAGGAGAGAGTGCTTGCTTGTTTCAGTCACACGGAATGACTTCCTTTAATTTCCTTTAACAGGCCAGATTTCCTGTTTCTGCTTTCAAAACACAGACACATAATAATTTGTAATTTGTACCCAGGTTTCCATTATTTGAAAACAAAAACAATATTTACAGCCCAGTTAGTTGTTCCAGTTGATCAGTAGTTGTTTCTTCTCTTTAAGTGGTGACGTTTTAGAGACAACAGGTGGAAGGGGGGTACTGCGTTTCAGCTGTAATGGTCTTTTTGGATGGTAGTCACCGGGGAGAATTAATACCAAAAATTCACAGGGGGCCCCTCCAACCAGCATCTGTCACCGTTATGTTACAAATAATCTGACACCGTCTAAACAAAAAATGCAAAATGTCTGTTTCTAAAGTTCAAATTAGTATTATTTTCAAAACATAAATATAAACAACAATTTCAAAGAATGTCATTTCCAAATATGAATATGAAATGTGAAACAAACACCATCATGTTAAAAAAAAAAAGTATCTATCCCCCATAGTTAGGGCTAGACTACAACATTCAGTCATTTGCTATTCTATGAACGAGTGTTGTCAGAAGGGGGCCCCCTTAGGGAGGTTTCCAACTGTCATTTCAAACTTTGCCCCTGCTGTGGTTTAAACATTTGTCAGCCCTTGGGGCCCCCCTACTGGCCCGGGGCCCCAAGCAGTTGCCATGCTTTGCCTGTTAACAAGCAGCACCTCTGGTCCTATAGCTGTACTTTACCTGAGCAGCTTTTTACATAATGGAAAAACAGATTGGATAACCACGGAGTTAGGGTAGTTTCTGATTATCTTCAAGAACTTTATGAAGAAATGCGGAATACTTAGTCCAATAATATTTGCCCTATGATGTGTTCAAGACTTACTCGCCATTATCCTAATGATCATTTTTCTGTTCAACACCATCATCATCATTATTCCATTTGTCCCCAGTCAGATTAAATATAACTTTCATCACCTGTTCTGTCCTGTCATTGGGCAGCAAATCCACATCACATCAATACTGCAAATAATAGAAGAAGAGAGAGAAAACATCTGAAACCAGAACAGTCTTCATGTTGATGTAAGTGAAGAAACAGAGTAGGAGGGACGGATAGAAGGAGGTGGGGAACAGAGCAGGAGGCAGTTTTATTGGACCGGGAATCATGGCGCCTTCCTGCTCATTAATTAGTCTTTGTGGGTTTGGAGTAATTGGATGACAGATTATAAAAGGACAAAGTAATGCTCTGCTCTACGGTAACGGACCAAATCAAATCTGTAATTACAACCAGCTGCCCTTTAAAAAAACCAGGCACACACACACACACACACACACACACACACACACAAACACACACACACACACAAACAACCTCACCAACTGCATTGTTATGTTTTTTCTCTGATTGATGGACACATTATTCAACATAGTAAAAAAAAAAAGACCCAGTGGTACCCAGTTTAATGAATCGTGCTCTAACTAACTAATTAACTAATTTATTCCAATTTATTTTCTCTTAGTCAGTCTCTCGAGGCTTTAACTATCTTCTCATTTCCATTTGGTACTTAAGACCAAAATCAAATAAATAAAGGTTCCAATATCATTTGCTCTATTGCAGAACAGACTGATGGTGGTCCAGGAAGATCTTTGTTATAATTATGAAGATCAGTTATAAAAATAGTACATTTTAATCCACTTAAAAAGCAGCTCGTGTCCATGATTTAGAATAACAAATTGGTCAAATGAAAACATTGACCGTAAAATAGCTGAAAGACGAATCCACAGTGAGTTGTTGTCAAACTCAGCAAAATGTTTTAGCATCTTTGAGCTCATTATGTTGGTTTTTCCATCCCACAGCTCTACTATCCACTCTACTCAAACTCAAACGTATCACTTGAGCACGGGGAGAGTGGATTGTATGTAGGATAAGATATATCAGTGTCCAGGCAAAAATACAAGTTACCAAGTTCTATCAAAGTATAAACTAAATAGAAACTCAAACATAATAAATATAAATATAAATATAAATGCCATCAAACGTAACTAAACTCAATAACAAATGGTACCCTTTAAATTAATTTCATAAGCTGTAGCAGTGTGAGTAATTGAAGTTTGGATGGATGCGGACATTTTTCCACAGTTAGAGAGTTACCTTTGAGTTGAGAGGATTCATGTTGTCTTTTGGCTGTTTTATCAGGAAGCACTGGATGTTTCCTGGAGCTTTACAGGAGATCAACTGTGTGCGCAAAATAATCTCTGAGATAATTGAACAAAAAAGTCAGCGATGTGTTTTCATCCCATTCTAAAATATTCGACTCTGGCATATCAAAATATCTCATGGAAAATAAGATATCAATATACAATATACACTTAGTATAAACATACACAGACATGCTGATAATAGAAGAGATACTTACTTATGTCTCTCCTCAGCTCCGTCAGTTACTCCTCCTGTGGGTCATCCCTTTGACTTATGATGATCCAACATGTCATCGGTTCAATTTTTGGACACATTTGAACAAAATGTTCTACGTCGTGGCAGTGGGAGTATCTGTTATCTCTCATGGTGATCATTCAAAACCTCCAGACTGTGTTTCCTTTTTTAAAATTTTTTTTTTACCTTCTGATGTTACAGCCATGGAATCCAGCCTCCATCAGCCCCAATCTATCCCCTCTGCATCGTATCATCCGCTCTATCCTTTAATGCATACCCTAAAAAGGAGTGCAGGGCCGCAGGTTGGATTAGGATGTTGGGTCGGGGGTGTGTGCGGGTCACAGAGGGGTATATACAGACCCCCATAACTTGATGAGGTGTGTGGGTTCTGGGTTTGACCCTCTGTGGATGCTTACCGTCTCCTCCATTGTCTTTCTTGTTTTCTTCCTCTTGTTTTCGTCCTGATTGGAAGCAAACATGACTTTCTACAAACACTCAGGTAATACAAACTAAGACAGAAATGTGTGCTAATTCTGGATGCTAAATAGGTTATTAAATGTTTTGGATTTTTAACCAATAATCAGGTACAAAAGTGTGCTGATATTTAAAATTCAGAAATACATTTTCCCCAATGACGACTTTTTATGAGAATAGAAAACGAACACTCAGCTTGCAACAACAATTAAACATATATATTTTGTTAAGATTGTAATCACTTTTCAACGTTTCGTATGAAAATCATAAACGATGTGAAGATTATTTTTTTTCTCAGTAACAATATGTTCTTAACTCAAAAATGTACTTTTTGGGGCTTTTGTTGATTTTGTTGCTGTTGTGTTACATTTGAAGACAGTCTTCCCTAACAAAATAATAAATGGCTATAATCCTTAAAACGCTGATAAATAAAAAGATAAAATCTTCCCCTTCTCTTAAAGAGGTTTTCATTTCTTCCACTCAAATCTTCTGTGTAGTTTGACCTGTACAGATTCAGACACTACATTTGGATTAAAAAAAAAAAAAATCATGATTAGGCTTTTTTTAGATTAAGCTCATTTGAATTCAAACACAACTTTAAGTGCAAATTCTCAAATGCCTTTTTATGTATTGTAAGAATTAATTATTTTAATTATGATGGCTTTTGATTCATTGTTGCTTTCTTAACGCCGAAGCCCCATGAGATTGATTTAGTATGCCAAAATCCAATTGTTTGATTTAGTTGGAGCTGTATACCATCATTATCCACGGGAGTCTGGACCATGATGCTGTGTTTTTGGCTGACAAACTCTCGATCACTCTGTCTTTGATCCCTCTCTCTCTCTCTCTCTCTCTCTCCCTCTCTCACTCGAAACGGTCTTATGTTGACCTTTCAGCTCCCCAAAGGGACCACAGTGGTTTACTCTTCTCCCTCCACAGCTGAGTGTCGGCACATACCACGCCTGTTTGACAGGGGTCAGCTGTCATGATGTTACTTTCAAAAGATTAAAGTACTGGAACCACAATAGCTGTTTGGTCCCAGTAGTCATCACTCTTTATCCTTCTCCCATTTGTCCCCCCGTGGAAGGTCAAAGTACTTTAAATAGAAAGTACATGTCTGAAATAGACTTCAGGCTCAGTAATGAGACCCCAGCATTGTGTGTTTGTGATATGATCAGATTTACTATGTTGGACTTGATGTGTTTGTCCTGTTTTAGCACCGTGAAATCTACAAGTACAGGCTGAGTGGACATCTGAGGGCTCAGTCCTGATTCCAGTCTTTATGCCAGAAGCACAGCTGCAGATACTGTAGCTCTCATCCATCCACACACACACCACGCTCCGAGAGGCTCATCTGTTTTTTTTTTACAGCTGATTACCGAACCCCTCTTAAATAGCTGCATTCCCCTTTTGTAAATATTTCCCTTGCTCTATGGTTACTCGGACAAAATGCCATTCCAGCCATTGTGTCCTCCATCGCCTCCCCTGTTGTGCCCACCAGATTAAAATGATATCTGACGCCCTGGATATTCCACTTAGGCTGACACACTGGTCAGCTGCTCTCCCTGACGTCCTGTGTGTGTGTGTGAGAAAGAGAGAGGCTTTAAAGTGATGTAGATAAAAACATAAAATGTCCTCAAACTCCACCCAAAAGCCCAGCTGTTCCAGGAAACTCCTCAGTCTGCTCCCAGTGGACGCCGCCTGTGATGGGAGTGCAGGAATGTTGCTGAATGAAGAATGGAAGCAACCCAGCTTACAGCGTTTTCTCTAACAGCCAATAAAATGACCCAGCCAGAATGCAGACAAAGGAGACAGGGGGTGGGGCAGTGCACTAAAAATATGACCTAAACTCTCCTGGGGGAGCTTGATTAAAAAAAAAAAGTCTGCTGGACAACAAGCAGACATGTGTGTGCTGCTCTTGTACCTCGCTCTTCTCTCAGCAGTTTGGTATGCTGCTGTCTGAGCTTTGTCTTACATTTTATTTCTAATATTACATTATTTTAAGATTTTAGGTTTACAGTAGTTGTCTTGGAAATCATTGTGTTGATCACAAGCTTGGGTTATTTTATAATTTCTTTGCCTATATTAAACTTCTTATTTTCTTCTTTTTGTTCCTAAATTCTTATTTCCCTTTCCCCTTACCGGAAACACATTTTTTTTAAAGTTATTTTTAAATAAATGCGCCATGGTTACTTCTATTTTTTTTACTTGTATGCTTTAGAGAACCATGCAGATGTTAGAAAAGGGAAACACTGCCCCCCTCTGGTGTCCAAAGGTAACATCCATTCATGTAGCGTGGATAGAAGTTGCCTGATAGTTTGTTGTGTGTCCCCTCAGGTCCCAGGAGCTATCTCACCTCCACCATGACTGAGCGCTTCGACTGCTACTACTGCCGCGACAACCTGCACGGGAAGAAGTATGTGAAGAAGGACGACAAGCACGTGTGCACCAAGTGCTTCGATAAACTCTGTGCCAACACCTGCGCAGAGTGCAGACGCCCCATTGGTGCTGACGCCAAGGTGACCCAAACTGGGATCACTCCCCTGCTCTTTACAGATAAATCACATTTTGTTTATCCAATTAAAAATGTCAAGCAATATTTAAATTTAAATATACAGCATATTTAATATACACATCAAGCGGGTGTGACGCTTTATCATACTTTGTTTTTAACTTAGATATTAATCTGACATTGTTGAATCATTCACTAGGTACCCAAAACTGTATTTGTAGAATATAGCATATTCATAAACACTTAATCCAAAAATATTAAGACAAATTATATAAACAATTTGATATTTAAAACGTATGAGCAGTCTTTTAAGTTGTTACCCAAAGTACATGTTGTGATCTTCTTTCCCCCCTCATGTATACACCCACACTTACAGCTGATTTGGTGCTTGAAGGTTTTTTTTTTTCCTAAACTAAATCACACCAGAAGAAAAAGGGCAAGTTTAACACTTTTAGTCCAGTCAATCAAGAAACAGGAGACTTTTCTTGACCCATGAAGGAGCACTATTGTTTTTTTTTTTAAATTGTGCTTAAAAAAGCCATTATTAAGACATTAACCTTTTGGCTAGAAATCACGATTAAAGACGTTTCAAATAACTTACACTAAGAGAAAGATAAATTATAGCTTTTATTTTGAAGTAAAATGCACATGGATTTATTTGTGTAACTTTGGCTTGCATTGAAACCAAGCCAATAAGAGAGCAGGAATCCTTTATACAGTTAATTATGTTGTGACTTTGAGAGAAACAATTCCAATCAATCATATATTTATTCCAGGCTTGATGAGGGCTCCTGCCTGCACTGGGGTCCAGATAGTCAGTCCCACTTTTCCCCCACACTATGTCGCCCATGACTGAAGCATTTCTTAGATCTGTGCTTCAGGTGAACTTCCTGTGTTCTTTGTGTCTCTTCAAGAGGCCTATATGTCATCCAGTAGTGACCTCTGCTTCCCATATTTGTCTCAGTCACAGATGGTTAAAGTCTGAAAAAGACGCATCATTACTACTGATGGAGCTTAAATACTTCATATCACATTTGCACCATCTAAATCCTCTAACTCCTTCATGCCTCGCCACACCCCACTCCACCTCATCTCCACCGTAATGCCTGACACATGGGCTGCTTCTGTCCTCTGGCTGTGGTCCACATGACGAGTAAACAAGGTCTACTTTAATGAGTTCTGCATGAGGATTAAGTGCTCATAATGCTCCTCCTCTCTCTGTGTTCAGGAGCTGCACCACAAGAACCGTTACTGGCATGAGGACTGTTTCCGCTGTGCCAAGTGCTACAAGCCGCTGGCCAGTGAGCAGTTCAGCGCCCGCGATGACGGCAAGATAATGTGCGGCAAGTGCAACTCCATCACCGATGGCAACCGCTGCCAGGGCTGCTACAAGGTCGTCTTGCCAGGTGGGTATTATACTATTACCTAGGTATACCTATATACCTATTAAAGGCCCTGAAGACACATTTTCTTTATAGGTTCTTACCATAAAACTAATCTCTGTGCCAAAGTTAGATCAAAAAGTAACATAGGTAAGAAGAGCACAAAGAAACCCCTGAACCTTATATTTTAAAGATAAAAGATTTCAATCCAAATCCAGGGATAATTGTGGTCTTTTTGGCTTATGTTCCCAAACTCAGAAGTTAAATCTTATCAAAACATACCCCACATAGTCCTGGTGTAAGAGATCACCAGTTTGAAAGTTGGAAACTTAAACATTTTAAGTTTGTGTTTCTCAAAAATGTAAATCAGATTTTTACTTATTTTATCGTAAATATTTTATGTAGCAGAAGAATACCATTTAAAACTATTTGCAGGAGGTTTAAAGACATTAACATTCAACTCTCAGTTCTGAGGAGTAACGTTTTTTTTATCTCATCTGCGTCTTTGTTTCTGCGATGTTCCTACATAGCCTCTATTTTAACCTTTGTTTGTTTTTGCTTTGTATGAAGTATTGTGTGATTAAATCAATCAAGTGCTGTAAGAAGTTATCAGCTGCTACCTTTAAGGTCCGACAATAAACAGCCAATCATTTTGCCTCCAAGTATCCTATAGATCATAAACAAGCCTGACTATTGTCAAACATTACATTCTGATTTTAAAGTGCAGAACATTCAGTCAATGACATTTGAATACCAACATGTATGGGTTTTTAATTCAAAGACATTTGTGAAAACATTTATGCAAAAGAAATGTCGATTATTTGGAGGAACTTCTAGAAACATGGAGTTTTTGGTTTTCAAATGTTGGTGAAGTAGACATCATAATGCTTTTTTTTGTCAAATATATTGATGTGAAAACTAAACTGGATGATGAGGAGCTAAAATCCATCAATTTTCAGCCCAAATAATTGGAAGTACTTCATGTTTTTTTTTTTTTGTAGGATCCAAGAACGTGGAGTACAAGAACAAGGTGTGGCACGAGGAATGTTTCACCTGCTTTGAGTGCAAGCAGCCAATCCACACGCAGAGCTTCTTGACCAAAGGTGATGACATCTACTGCGCTCCCTGCCATGACAAGAAGTTTGCCAAGAAGTGCTTCCACTGCAAACAGGTACAAACAATACTTTAATGATGTTATGTTCTGTATGAGAAACAGTCAAATGTTAGCTTCCTTCACTGACTGATGTGGTAGTGTTCGAGGCTCTGATAAGACTGTTTCTGGTGTCCCTCTCAGCCCATCACCTCTGGAGGGATCAGCTACCAGGACCAGCCCTGGCACTCTGAGTGCTTCGTGTGCCACACCTGCCGTAAAGCTCTGGCCGGAGCTCGCTTCACCTCCCACGAGAACAATGTTTACTGCGTGGACTGCTTCAAGACTGACGTGGCTAAGAAGTGCCACGGCTGCAAGAACCCCATCACAGGTCAGGGCAGAATACACAGATACTCGCATGTGTTTGCAGTAGGTTGCAAACACATGCATGCTAGCATCCATGGAAGATACTGTTCAATGACTTTTGTAGTTCTTAGTCATGTCTTCTAATGAATGTTTCCTGCATAATTATAATGAAACCAACCTCTTATATATATTGTAATCCACTGACACAGCACTCAGCAAAAGATCAGTTTCAACTACCGCAGTTAAAAAAAATCTGTTAAGAAGTAGTTTGTACAGGGAAATAAGAAATTGTATTAAATTGGTGTATTTCAAACTTCATGGATGTTTGTTTGACTATAGTTTTGATAGCAGGGTACTAAAGGTTAGCTGTACATGCACACATTTGAAATGTTTTCAGGTTATTCAGTTCAATAATTAAGAGTTTTAAGTTTCTAGAAGTGAGAATATTTATTTGTTTGGCTTTAAGTGTGAGCTTAGGTCCCTGTTTTAGAACCAACTTTCCAGTTGTTATGAAGAAAGCGCCTCGGTCATTCAAAGGATGTTACAGGCAGCTTTATAGATGGATTTTTCACACTCCTTTTCCCTGCTTGTTTTGAATTTATTTTGCACTCCGATGTGCAAAAAGTGAACTGATTGAAGGTAAACCTGAGTACAGTATCATACATAGCCATTTCTTCTAGACTTACAGAATTGTCTAATTACAGCAAAATGCAGAAGGGGTTTACAGACACACACTGATAGAAACACTTCTTAGTTTAAATACGAAACCAACAAAGGTTGCTTTAATATCAGGGCTTAAATATAATTTAAAAACATTTTTTTACTCAGTGTCAGGACAAACAACAGAAAATGATATTCTGAGTGTTGGTTCTGTTACCTGGATGTGTCATTACCCTTCTTGTGTTGACTGATGGATGTCCGTGTGCCTCTGCAGGGTTCGGCCATGGCACCAATGTGGTGAACTACGAGGGATACTCCTGGCATGAGTACTGCTTCAACTGCAAGAGGTGCAGCCTCTCATTGGCCAACAAGCGCTTTGTCATCAATGGAGATCACATCCACTGCCCCGACTGTGCCAAGAAGCTGTGAGCTGCTGCACAGACGGCTCAGCAGAGGATCACTGTTTAAAGGAGATTAAACCCACAACTACATGTAGACAGTTTGTAAAAGAATCTTTTTTTTTTTTCTCATAGATATTGAGAGTTTTTGATTTGGCCTTAAAATGAAAACAGTTGGTGTAACTTCTTTGTGAGGATCAGAGTGAAGGGTTTTACAATTAAATGTGCACTTAGCTTGGCTCATTTATCTACATATACATTAATGCAACTTGTTTAGCTGCTACAGCTAAGATACTAACTCGGCAGAAGAATTACTTTTGATGGTTTGTGAAGAGTCGAACGAGGATTCTGTGCAGCATTATGACACAGAAGCATCGTCAGTGCCTTACTGGAATCTAGCAGAGAATTGAATGCTTTTTACATGCTGCTGCTGCTGCTCAGTCATACCAGCTTTGATCACTGATCTATGATGTCTCTGAATGATTGAGGGGATTAATGAGAATGTTTAGAGTGGATATCAATTTAGAGCTTTGAGATTGAAGTTTAAATGTAAACCCGCTCGTTTAACCAAGACGTGTGAGTGTGAATATTAAACAAGAATAAAGGAGGAAGAAGTGATTTGAAGTCTCAATTCTCTACAGCAAGAAATCAAAAACATGCAAAGGAGTATTTTAGCAAGACTTTATTTTTTTTGACGGGTTGTCTCATCTCAGTACACTTTAGATATATGTACAGTACACATCGAATTAGCAGACAGGGGGTTATAAGGTTTAGTAAATCTTCCAGAGAAAATATTTGTATTCACAAAGCCCCCTCAGGTCGGGTGGGCTGATTGTCGAGGCTGAGGTAAGGACAAGCTTTCTCAGTTAACTGTGATACATAAAAATACTAAATCTCAATCTAAGGCACCGGTCTATCCTATTGTTAAAGACAACATTGAGGACAGTGAGCTCTGTCTTGTAGCCCTCTAAGATGCAGCAGGACCTGGAATAGATACAGTATCGGTTTAAGCAGCAGCTACAACAGTCCCCTTCAACAGGTGGAGGAGAGGATAAGGAGGGAAGGTTTTTTTTTTTTTGGGGGGGGGGGGGGGGGTTTCTGCGTATAATTGCAACTTTTTTTTTTTCCATTGAGAACATCACACCACTCTTCTTTGAGTCTGTACAGTAAAGCTACACTTGGTAACCAGTCTTTAAATATAGTGAGTAATATGGGGCAGTGCAATGAGTCTCTTCTTTCTAGATGAATAATGTGAGAAAGCTTAAAGCGGGGGGCGGGGGGGGTAGCTTCTAGACACAGGGTAAGTGATGAGGGACGGACTCTGTAGTCTGGCGTTACATTCATTGAGCTTATTAATCACAGCTAACACCTAAAGCCCCTAGTTTTTATTTACAAGAGGATTTTTGTTAGAAAGAGGGTCTGAAAGCCAGCGGAGAACAAGGCAAAATTCAAGGTCCCCAAACCTCATGCTTTTACTGTTAGAGCAAAAGCAAAATTAGACAAACTAACAAAATCCACGACATACCCTGAACTGAAATGGAAAACAAGTCTGACCCATGTCTTTTTTGTATACAATGGGCCCTGGCTCATCTTTCAAAGTATAAAAGTTGCGACCTGAGCTGATTTGCCTACCATTACTATCCAACATCTACATATCCTCAGACATAATGTAAAACATCTGTTGATGACATTAAAAGCATCATGAAGAGGCACAGCCATGACTTGCAGTGTATCCTGTCAGATGTGTTGCTAAGGGCTGCAACAACTCTACCAAAACCTGTGAAGTCCCTGTGATGATCAGAACTACGGTTTGTGCATGTTAAGCTAAAAGACCATAAACTTGAAAACAAAGAAACACAAAAGGGAGGGAGGGGGGGGGATGTGAACTCTGGGTTTCCAGGCTGCCACAGGGTTCGAGTCAAACAGAAACCTAACTTATAGCATAGTCACATACACATAGAGACTTCAATAATCCACATCCTGAAGCCACTCCCTCCTAAACATGGCTTTGTTTGCCTAATACTGATTCTATACACAATAACACTTAAATATATGTAGAAATGTATTTCCTTATATAAACAAACAGCCAAATTGTATCTTGTAAAAATATTTGAAATGCAATTTGTCAGATGTAGCAGCTATTCTGTTGGAAAGATGAGGGAAATCATTTGAATTACTGAAGTAGTCTTGCAGACCGAACTGTGAAAGGAAAGGTGTGTGTGTGTGTGTGTGTGTGTGTGTGTGTGTGTTGATGTGTTGATGAAGCTCAATTAAGACCAGATAAATGTAAACCTTACTTTCAGTTCAGGAAAGGTGAACTTGAGACAGAACAGCCGAACATTCAAGTTAAGTTTGGTTATAAATGCATACAGGAAACTATTGGGCTTCATCTGTATATTAAGTGAGCTTGTTACAGTTACAGATGTTCAAACAGCTGTTCGGTCCAACTGTCATCACTTGGGCTTAAACTAATGAAACTCTGAATCTGATTTAAATTGCAAAAATGTTAGTAAACATGAATTCTATGTACATATATAAAAAAGAAAAGTAAACTAAATGGACCATGAGCAAATATCAAACTTTTTAACTCTATTGGAACATGTAAATTAAACTACTGTGTATTCATGAATCTCAACATTTGTCATCTCTAAATGTAACAGCTGGAGCTGTGCTTCCCGAAGCCCTCTATTAGCCAAAAAGGGAACACATGGTGAGGAAAGCTGGGAGACAAGACGTGTGCTTTCATCAAAAATATCCGGCTGAAGGACACAACCCTGGGAATTGAAGTGAAGTATAAATACAGAATTCACCCCCAAGTGCATGTGCATGACATATCACTGATTAACTGTCAATGTGTCGACCTCAGCACAAGCAAATTCACATTAGAAATTAGAAGTTGGGAAATAGTAGTAAGGCCATATTGCTGGATGCTGCAAAAAGCAGCCAGTCAAGTAAATTTAGATATCAAACAGAATGCATTAACTCTCCTTCCTTCAACTCACAATATTAACATATATTCAATTCACACAGCCTAATGTACAAGAGTCATAGAATATTTTCATACAAGAGAAAAAAAAAGAAAAGACTAAACATAGAACAATAATTACGGTAAAGAAGCCAAAAATTAATAAATTACAACAATGCACCCCTCACGAGACAAAACTCTTATAAAACATCGTCAAAATTGGACACAACATAGAAGAAAAAAAAAAAAACATCTGGAAAGAACAAACACGGAGGGGAAGGAAAATTTAAGCAAGAACACTGAAGGAATATATGGAATTTCCCTGAAGCATAACCTTTATATACCAGTACGTATAATATTTATATATCTGTTTGCTCATCATTCAGGGTGCAAATGTAGCACTTGGGGTGGTAGTTCTGCTTCACCTTGTACTCCTCCCTCTGGCAGAAGAGAAGAGAGAGGAAGAAGCTGTCTGGAACTTGTGGAGGATATTTTTGTAAAGGAGCTCAGCTGGACAGGAACTTCACGAGTGCAACAGAAAGAGGCTTCTCAGAGACGTCTGTAGCATCAAATCTCTACAGAGAAAAGAGGAGAAATAGTTAGTTTTTCTTTAAGAAAAGTACATAAAAAGAGGGAAATTCCCATTAGATGAAGAGGTGTAACTCACCTGACATGGTTTCTAAGGGTTGACTAGAGGAATGCAGGTTGTTGACCGGGGTTCCCTTGTCCTCTAAGGCTACCCTTGGCCCTTCTGAGCTCCCATCACAGTTGATCAAGACCTGGTTACTGTCCTCAGCCTCCATTATGGGCCGGGTCTTGGAGTGGACGTTCAGATCATTGAGCTCCTCAAAGCTCCACTGGGTAGATTTACCATTAACACCTGACACCACCTTGGCAGAGTCCTGCTCATTCAAGAACTCCGAGCCTTCAACGAGGCGACTCTTAGGGATCGGACTGCAGAGGAGAGGTGAGAGAACGATTTGATCAAAACAAAACACAGGTTTAGTTTATTGCTGAGCGAGAGGTTGAGAAGTGAGTGCAATACTGAGAGAAATCTACTCCTTTTCAACGGATTCCTACTGAGAGAAACATCCCCTGGTAAACAAATACATTGTTCAATTTTTTAAAAAGATACTTGTCTCAAACAGCTGGGCATGAAATTATTTGACAACCGGTTTTTCCTGTTATTTAGTCTGACTCACAGGATATGCACTAAAGCCTGCCATTTGCCACCAAATTCAGTTGGAATTGTCCTCTACATCTAATATTAAGCATGCAATGTTTTCTTCTCTGTGTACAACAACAACCTCTGAGCTACAAGAAATAGATTGTGAAATAACGGAGGCCTCATTCCTCTCCTGACACAATTCAAGACAATTGTTATACTGCAGAGTCACTTCCCCTTATCAGAGCTCTGATGGGTTCAGGTATTGGCCTTGAGGTACTGGCACAGTATGAGTACTGGTTGAGAGACAACATGCAGCAGTTGATGTTAGAGATGTTTATATAGAAGCAGAGAGCTGTGGGTGCTCTAATCTACTAGAAGGGCCCATATTTTTCATTCTAAGTGGTAAATTTCCCTTCTTCTGTGAATCAGAAATCAGCCGTCAACAATCAAAGCATTGTGAGCACAACTCTGAGCCGTGTGTATGTGGGTTTCATTATCTTTTTGCAAGTCATACCTTACAGCCTGAGTCTCATCTGTGCTCATGCCGTTGTTATTCTCCTTGTCGTCTGTCTCTGGTTTCCCATTCACACTGCCCAGGGGCTCCTCTCGTTGGTTCCCCAGGTCTCCACAGGACAGACCACACTCTTCTGTATCTTCCTCCAGTGGGATGTCATCTGACTGGCCTACAGTAACACAGGGGAAATAAGTTGATGAGTCACTATGAGTAATGTAAATTCACACAAACAAACTTAATGTAAAGCATATGAAAACTAACACAAAGAGAGGAAACACACCTTCAGTGGAAAATACTAAATTAATTTTAAAAAAAATGCATGTATAAATCTTTATGTTGTCTGACATCCTGAACATCATCAGTGTGAAAACAAGAGGAGGAAAACACTTACTCAGGGTGTCAGAGTTGATCTGGTCCATTCCCTCATCTCCATCCTCCTGTGAACATTTATCGTCATCATCGTCTTCTCTCTATCCAGGAGACACAAACAACATGTGATCACACACACAGTGTAGATGATCTTTGACACATGTGAGATGAATGAATGTGAGCTCACCCTCAAGTCATTTTGTTCCCCTTTTCTTGTCCTCTTCATTATCTCTTCAATTCTCTGAAATGGGAAAAAATACATTTTGTGTTATTTGGATCTACATGAGGCACATTAAGAATGTACTCTGTTAAACTGTTGTCTTACATGTTTTTAATCTAAGTCGTTAAGGCAGGAAATGACATTCAATTTGTCTGTTACCTCTTTTGATGCAGCATAAGCCTCGAGTGCTTTACGACACTATTTGATCTTACTACTTAAAGGCTTAATATGCGATTTTTCACACTTAAATGTAAAAGAAATCAAGTATATCCTCTGAAAATAACTCTGAGTCATGACTGTCTACAATGGGTGTAACACCCGAGTCCCACTGTCTGTGATGCTTTCCGGGTCCTATCTTGTTTACATCGCCAGGACGCCGGCCAACTCATCCCCTCACGTATAAAAATTGTGTAATTGAGGGACTAGAGAAAAGAAGAATAACATACTGTACTCACTGCTTATTTGGATGTCACGTAAGCGTTTCTAGATCACAGTCATTTCAGGTAAATTTACATGCAGTGAGAAGATACGAGCATAATAAAGATCGCTAGCATTAGCATGCTAAAACAACAATGCAGCACAAGTTTTTTGGGTTTCATGCTGGTGCTCAAGGATGACATCTGCTGGATCAAAAAATCGGATATGAAGCCTTTAAGAGAAAGCAAGGCCCAAATAACTGATCAAAATCTCCCCTTCATTAAGCTCTACATACCTTCTTCCTCTCCATTCGTTCTTGCTGGTTCTGCTGCATGATGCGGTCTCTCTCCTGACGGACTCTCTCGGCCTCCTCCAGGGCTTTGGCCTCAGCCTCCTCACGTTCCTTTTGGAGCTCAGCCTGTTTCACGGCCTCCTCCTCTGCCAGTCTCACCCGGTCCTCCTCTGCCAGGCGAGCGTCTTCCTCTTCTTGAATTTTTCTCACCTCTGCGAGCTTCTCCTCCTCCTCCAGGCGTTTCAGTCGAGCCTCCTCCGCCAAACGTGCCTCCTCTTCCTTTCTTAACCTGGAGTAGTAGGAAAAAAAAAACAGAAGCAAATGGTTTAAAAGCTTATAGTGTGTGAGTGTTTAGTTTCTGGTAAGTTTTAAAAAAAATACATGTAAGGGGTTGTTTATGACAGTTTCAGTAGACAGAAAAAGAGAGCATAATATTCCTTTAAACCATGTGTTTAACCAGGACTATGTTATTTGACATTATTTAATATTCATTCACAAACAAACCACACATTTGATTTGACTTAATAACAATTACACTTTTTTTTAAGAAATCTTTTAGCAACTAGAAGTGTTGTGGGGGAAAAGGGTGCTGTCCAATAACCTTACTTTTCCTCTTCTTCCTTCTGTAGCCTGAGCTGCTCCTCTTTCTCCTTCTGCTCTCTCATCAGTCTGCGGTTCTCAGCCAGAATCTTGGCCGCCTCAGCAGCTGAGTTGGTGCCTGTAGAGGCTTCAGATTCAGGTGGAAATACAAACACAGAACATACATTTAGCTTTTAAAAAGGCGAGAGGATTAGAGGACGAGTATTGACAGTAAAAGAAGAAAGCTAGATTTGTGTTGGAGGTTATACCAACAAAGAATAAGGCTTCATACTCAGTTGTGTAACCATCACATGATCTTCTCTTTTCTCTCTGTGAGACCTCAATTCATCTCTGTAGGAATAGAGCATGTGTGCTTAAGCAACATGATAATAAAGAATATGAAATAAATGTTTCTACCGTCATTGTATTAGGCTATAGAAGGCCGTGAGCAGGACAGCTAGATGTGCAGAATCTTTTCGGTTTGTTCAGTTAATATGTAAATAATTATGCTATGGCAATATATTGAGACTGACATTCATGCCAATGAGGATACTAAACTGACTAGAAAATCTGTTTTTCTCTGCTTGCATGAGGTGTTATATCATTTTAAAGCTGTATCAGTGTGCAGAACAAGCTTCTCTCCAATAGGTGGCAGCAACAACAACCCAGATTCTGTGACAGGATGTGACTCCAGCTGGAACGATATTAGTCTCTGGCTCCACTGAGATTTACAGCCAACTGAGCTGCTGCCACGTCCGTTTGCAGCACAAAATAACACACACATGTAGTATTGTAGATTGACTTTTGAAGCAGATGGTCATATTCTACAGCTTTTAAACCAAAATGACTCTCCTTGAAGCGGTATTACACCATGATCACAGAGGGTTTCTGCTTCGAGTAAAGTGGCTGCTGCAAGCACAGCTGACAACAGAGAGATAAGGGGGGGGGTGGTCAGAAGTTGTTTCCATGCATCAGTGCAAACATCCTGGTTTCCAGTAGAACCATCAGTCTTGGCAAATATTAGTACTGACTAATTAAAATCTTTCATCTGCCTGTTGTATTAAAGCCTGCCTTCTAAAACATTATTACATGTGCTTCCATGATGCACAATCAAACATTTAAAGTGAAATGCTTTCATAAGACTAAACTGCTCACCATCTTTCTCTTTGGATTTGCTAGAGTCAGGGGACTGCAGAGCTACACCGGGGACAGGACACAGATCCTTGGACTTAGAGTCCCTCTTTCGCAGGGTTGGGGGTCCTGTTGGAGTGAGAGCTGGTTTCTGTATAGGTGGTGGTTTAGATGCAGGCTGGGGGGATGGCGGGCGTTGTTTCATTGCACCCGGTGAGGGTGGACGTGTTTTGGAATTTTGCCTGGAAATAGAAAGTTCAATCTAAATTAAATGTATTCAAAGTCTCAAAAACGTTAGTAGTATCATCACCAAATCTGTTTTTAGAAAGGCTGTAGTTTACTTGGCAGCTGATGGAGAAGGTGTCCTCTTTGGGGCTGGAATGGGAGCTGGAGATGGTGAACGGTTGCGTACCAGAGTAGAAGATGGGGAGGGGGGGCGTTGCCTGCCAGGTGATGGTAACTGCTTGTCCTTCTGTGGTTCAGCAGAGATGGGAAAAGAAGTGACACAGTTTTTCATAACCATCAATAAACTACGACCATGAAAATTACTCACAAGTGAAATAATGCACAACAACACTTATTTTTAAATGTTAATGTTTATCTTATTCTGTGTGGCTGAAAATAATTTAGCAAAGTATAACTGAAATCAAACAAGTTCAGTTCACACAGCCATAATAACTTCTCACTGGAACATTTATAAATACATCTCTCTTTCCAGTCTTTGTCTATTAAAACATTAGGTGGCCCCCAGACAGCCTGTCATTAAAAACAGACACGATTCTGTAGTGGACATCACTGCATGGGCTCAGGAACACTTTAAAAAAACACAGTCTGTGAAAACAATTTATCACTGCTTTCACAACTGCTAGCTGAAACTCATCCGTAATGGTAGTGCACATGGCCTAGGAAACCTGCACATTTGTGAAGGAACCATAAATGCTGAACAATATATACAGGTTTTGGAGCCACATATATCTCTTCTCTTTCAGATATGGCCTTGCTTGTTGCAAAGCACAATCACATATTACAACAGAATGGCTCCATAGAGTCCAGGTGCTAAACTGGTTTGCCTACAGTACCAACGTGTCACCCATTGAACATTTTTGGTGCATTATGAAGCACAGAATGACACAAAAAGAGACCCTGATGAACATGACCCTGTCTCAACTTTTTTGAAACGTGTTGCAGGCAACAAACTCAAATTGGGCATACAATTTCACAAAAACAATTTCTAATTTTCAACATATCCGTGCTTAGTCATAGTCACTGTCTCAAGCTGTACAATCAAATAACTTTATGGCTTTAATGATCTAAGAGTCCTTGAAGAGCGCATAGCATAATTCCTAATTTTACTAAACCTGCATCCAGTAGTTCCACTGGGGATTCAGCAGTGACACAATGTTTGTGTGGGAGAGGCCGTGGGTCACGTTTGAATTCATCTATTTTTAATGCTCATGTGCTCTGTTTGTCACCTGTAAACCTGATGACAGAGGGGCATGAGCAAGGCTGGCCATGTGACCCACGGCCGAACCCAGATAAAAAGCTCTTGACCACCCGAAACCTTTAACACTGATTGCTAAGTGAAGAAAAATAATTTATTTGTATTTTATGCATCTTTGTTAGAAGTTTTCATCCTTACTCCTTTTCATAATATCCTTTCATAAGCAAAGAACAGATGCATGGAATTCACAGAAAACCTATGTAGATAAATCTTGTATTATAAATGGTATCTTATTTACCTTTTGGTAATTTGTTTATATTAATATCCCCACTTAAAGATAACCTTGATAATCTGTTTCAACTGCCCAACTTGACCCAAGGGTCACACAGTTTAAATTATCTTTACACAAATCTGTGCATGTGGGAAAGAGAGACAACAATGAAATGGTAGGGACAGTCAAAAGCTTTGACATCTAGCCCCAGGCTCAGGGTGTGGTCCGCTTTGCATGGGCTGATATGTCCCTAATAAGGCTACTGTGGATCCCTTTGTCTCAAGCTATGACAATGATGTCCTTCACAGCCATGGAGGAGGAGGAGGAGGAGGAGGAGGGGAGGAGGAGGATGGAAGGAAGGTTTAGAGAGAGAGCAAGACACTTCAGTGCATCAATTGACACTGTCCGAGACATCTCTTATACCATGCATGACATGTTGTATGTAAAGCAGCAAGCCGGAGAACATTAAGGGAATGTGTAAAGCAGCAAAGGTCAACGAACAGCTGGAGGAACATTTCCCTATGGTTAGCATCCTGCAGAAGTACTTTGTAAGGCAAATTCAGCAGGATATGAGCATATAAATAAGTCTCTAGTGGCATGCATGTATCGTATATGCTGTTTAAATGCAAAAATAAAAATAATTAATTTGATGCAACTACTGAAGACACTGTTTAAGTCTAACAGGTGTCATGTAACAACAGGTTTTCTATGGAAAGTATTATTTGGTAGATAATCCATACCCCAATTTTTCAAAAGTATGAGAAACTCGACAAACTACATAAAACAACCAGACAGACCTCCTCTGGTAATAATACCATGTCGGTCAGCTACATTGTGCATTTTAGTTCTTATGTATGCTATGTATCAAGAATCAAAGAATCAGAATGAAATTAGATAATGCTCGTTCAATGAGGAGGCGAAACTGCAGGAGGAAAAAGAGGGAGGACCCATAAGGAAATCAGTTAATTCTCAACATAACACTTTCCTTTATGTAACTGTTCAATATAAACAGTTCTCTTTGCTGAACAGTGGTGTTAGTACCACAAACATAAAGAGGAGCTCTCACCAGTGAGGGGTCTAGGGCTCCATCTGCAGAAACAGAGGTGGTCATGCCGCTCTTCTGCCGGTCAATGCTGCGGCTTCGAACGGGTCCACGAGATGGGTTCAGGGAACTGGCAGAGGCTGAGCGAGGACACAGGTGACACTCTGGTAAAGGACACAGTCATCGCATGGCCAGAGGAGCACAACCGATGCGAGGCGCGACAAGCAGGCAAGTTGGGCAGAAAGCAGTAAAGAGCAAATACAGGGAAGAATAAAGTGAGTGGAGGGAGAGTGGAGAAAGGGAAAGAAGGAGGGGAAGAAAGAGCGATGGAAGGCAGATGGTGGTTGAATGGAGAGCAGGAGAGTGATTTTATAAGGGGACAAGAGCACAAAAAAAGCAATTTGTTAGATTAAGCCCTTTAGGCAGGGAACAGCTTGATTTTTGAAGCTTTGATTGGGCTGCAGATTACAGGAGACTTAAGAAGCAGAGAGCAATAATCCCCAAAACAAGCAGAATACTCAACAGGTACCAGTCTTTGAACCCAACATAAACAAACCTGAACACAAAGCATCACAGCACTGCACAGCGTAGAACAGACTACAAAAAACCTACCACCAACACGGCACAACACACACCGACACAGAACACATGAAGCACACAGAATTATTAGTACAATAAACACACAATGAGTGTTGTGTTGTTGTGTTTTGTTACAGTAACACAAAAATGTGGGGGTAATATTTAGTTTTTCTATTCTTCTTGCCATCATGCCATAACTCATCAGACTCTACATCAGACACTAAATGCAACATTTGTAGTGCAGGTCTAGAATTGTAAGGCAATGCTTTGACACAGGTATTAATCTAATTTGTGTGTAATCTGAACCAACCGATTTAAAATGTTCACAACTTTAAAACTTGTAGTGGCAAAGGGTAAAAAGCACTGTCCTTGGCACTGAGTGTAGCTTGTAGTTGGTAAGGAGAGTGAATACTGTTGTCCACTGGCTATGAGCTTGCTGTGTCAGATTGAGGGATTAGCCATGATAATCCTGAGGCCTGGAGAACTCTCCCTGCTACAGCATGCTAACAACAAATGTTTTTTGATATTCTTTCTGATTGCAGATTGTGCAACAATGGCGACTAAGAAATCTACCCAGCCATGAGCTATCACTGCTGCTGCTGCTGCTAATGCAGTTGTGTCATGTTTCTACTGGGACTATACTTAGCAGGAGATCGATAGCCGCTAATGGCTTTGTAATGGCTGGTCAATAAACACCAAAACCTAATACCAACATGGGGAATGCAGTTGCAGCTTTGTGAGTCAGTACTTTACAGTATGGTTCTTTCAAACTTGCAAAAAAAAGTCAACAAGAAATCATTATGACTGTCTATGCTATATATGATCAAATGCTGTACTGTAAACCACTTACAGTAAAACAGTCAAAGAAACAACAAACCCATAAACCTCCCCATTCAAGGCTTCAGGGCATTTTAACAACATGTCAGCCCAAATCAAATGCCAGAATAATAGCATACTGTTTTTTTATTAGTGTGATTCCAATTCAATATATTCTTTAGATATGCTTGATATAATTATTTCAGCACTGTGTACAGGAGTCCTGTGCACTCTGATCACACTACCTGCATACATGCAACAGCAAAACAGTCTGATTCTGATGTAACAAGAACCAACAGGTAAGCAGCTTAGAGTAAATCTCCCAGCATGGACTCCAAGGCTCCTCAAATGCAGGGAAGTGCTCCCAGCCAAGTCAGCCCTGCTCAGCTGGGCTCAACACACAACAGTCAATTGTTTCTGTCCTTAGAATACATGTGAGCTAGACCCGTGTGTGTGTCAATATTAACCAAGTAACTCTGCTCGCTCACATGAGCATACCAAAAATGATTACTATATAGACATAACATAAATAACTGATTCTTACAATCCAAGCTATTATTTTGGAGCTGTGCAGTAACTTCTAAAATTCCATCACCAAAAGGTCACCATTCACTGTGAAGGATTGATCAAAAAGCATGAGTCTGCAACAGGGGTGGGGTGGGTTCAGTTCTAGTTAAGTTATACCGCACAGACGTTCTACTGATAAATAAAGGTAAGTAGAGAGGACCAGCATCTGTGTCTAGCCATCCCTCCTCTCCTGCAGGGTCTCCTAACGGAGGTTACCTGGAGTTTCTTTTCCTTCGGCTGACAGGGCGGCGGCGCTCTTGCTCCTAGCTAGTGAGGCCTGGGTGGGGGTGAGCAGGCGACTAAGGACCCCTCCGTCCACAGTGCTGGCCGTTGGCCTGTGAGCTACACGGCCGAAAAACCCCACCCGAAGACAGAGAAGAACAAAAAGGCCAAGAAGGAAGGAGTGGGTGAGAATGAGGGATCAATAAAGTATAGAAAGGTCACCATGTGATTAGACCAACAGGATAGAATCAACATCAACAACCAAAGGTTACGTCCCAATAATCTTACATGGCCTCATTGTCAACTGTCTTTATCTTGTTAACTTTTAGAGATAATCAATCACATGAGGATAGACAGTATAAGACCGTAAGGAAAGGATGCCATGGAAGCCTGCTGGGACAGACCAAAGACTGATTGTCAGGTAGCTGGAGCAGTTTAAAAAGTAATCAAGGTAAACAATTAGGTCAAATCAATGGTTCCTTGTGGCAGAGGGAGGTGTGCTGATGGGTAAAAACAAAGTATTAGTAAACTTCATAGAAAACAGAGGAATGCTATTGGGTAGAAAGATGAGAAGTGAAAGAAGCCAGAAGACTTATGCACGAAATGGCTATGAAAAGGCTCAGCTCGACTTATTTGGAACTTTTATGTTGGATTTGGTAAATTAACCTGAACTTGTATAGAGCTTTTCTTCTGACCAATCAAAACACTTTTTACATTATATGACACATTCACCCATTCACACCACTTTCACACACTTATCCCATCAGTACTATTCCATTCACAAGCATTCACACGCATCAGGCAGAGCAGCGGGAGCAATTTGGGGTACAGTGTCTTACCTAAGGATATTTGACATGTGACTACCGGAGCTGAAGATCGAACTAACAACCTTTTGGTTAAGAGTCGACCGATTCTACCACTGAGCCACAGCTTCAAATGGAAAAAGTTTTGGATAAAACCTAGTGCTTTTTTTTATCATCTCAGCTGAGGTTACGAATGAGATGTTCAAGTCCATGACAGATGGCTAAGTGTTACACAGCAGAAGCTACTTTGCAAAGAATGAAGTTCTAAAAACACATTCAAAGCATAGAAATGTAAATATATGAGATAACACAGGAAGCCTAATTTCTTTATTATATCATTAACATTACAGAATGCACAGGTCCTGCCTTTTTGTTATGGTAGAACAGACAATACATGGTATTGCTGATGTCCAGCTAAGATCCCCCCAAAATAGTAAACAGGTACTATCTTCTGTGGAAAACTCATTGTTGACAGTTCTAGTACCAGTTCCAAGCAAGTAGAGTTGAACAGAGCAAATACTGTGCATTGGACAGTGGTTAAAGACTTACAGTGATAGATAAAGTGACCGTGATGAATAAAAAATAAATAAATAAAATGACAAAAAATAAATGATAATAGAGGAAGAATTCAAAAGTGGACAGGTTGGTCTCTGTACCTTAATCCTGGCTTCATAAGGAGAGTGCAGAGTCACTTCCTTTTGAAACCCCTTACTGAGAAGACATCTGTTTTGGACAGACTTGTTTTTTGTAAGCAGTTGAGTGACAGCCCTTGCAACACGGCAGCATGGCTCACTACTTGGCACACATTTATTAAAGAGAGATTTTTTTTTTTGTAGGGATGTATGAGATACTCGTCAATTGCAAGTGTTTTGCCAACAGGAGATGCTGATCAGCCCGGCCCTTTTTATTTAGAAGCCAAAGTGCTTGATAATATCAAACTCTACAGTCATTACTGGGCTGTGCTAGATACATTTCAAACATTTGTTGATTCAATTTAAAATCAAATTGGGATGTAGTTATATCAAAATTCACAATATAAATATCAGTGTAGGCAAAATTAAATTTCACTTGGTCACTATAGACCCTTATTCTGCAGGCAGAGGAAGATGTGGTGCGCCGAAGTAGTGCAGAAACAAAGTGGCTTGCTGATGGCTAGTACAGCGCTGAACATTTTCTCAACCAAGGGCCGACCTGCATCTCCTGCAGGTTATACACTAACTGATACTACTGACAACTACCACATACAAACCCATGCCGAAAACTCGAACTATCCATTTAAGAATCTAGGTTATTAGAGCTAAGGTTATGGATTTGTTTTAAGAATCTTGTGTTTATGAATGATGTTGTATTATTTCCTAAGCTAATCACATACATTAACGAACATGTACACAGAACAAGAGGATGATTAGAACTCGTGATATGCATGAAGAGACTGACAACAACTATTGGACAGACAAAAGAATTGGTGGTTAATGGGATGGCACTGGCATACACCACACTGAAGCACAAGCCCAGTGACTTAAATCCTTCTGGGGGGGAGAAAACAATCAACACTTTGTGACAACAAAAAACAATACACTGTGTTAGAGCAAACATTGTACACCACAAACCATTCCTAGATTGGAAAACAAAAGGTTAAGGCAGTCAAGCTGCCAGTGAGAAACATGGCACATTACAGGCGCTGGTGGTTAAAGACAGCAGGTTAAGCAATACAGGACGAACAGTGTTCCCGTTAAATCGCAGATAAAAGACAGTGTGGAGGTGCTTAGCAGCAGCCTTGGGGTGACTGAGTAGTTTGTGAGTAAGACTTCATTGAAGGATAGCATGGATTGAAAGAAGGCATACATAGCAACAAGAGCTGGTCAGTTGAAAAGTCCCATTTAGCGGATGACAAAGACTTAAGCCAAATGAGAGTGTTATCACCAAAACCTCGTCGTAACAGACAGTTGTGGTTTAAAAACCCCGCACAAACTCAGAATGTTCAAGCTGTTAACATCACAGCAACATGCTTGTTATTCATAAAGGACGGCCTGAGATGCAGATAGAGGGCATGACAAAAAAAGAGATTCCTGACTGTTCATGCTAGCCACCTTGATCATCCGATGTCCCTTTATCAGGCCTGGCAGGGGTTTTTTCTCTGCCCACACTTACTCGTGTAAGGGAGGAACTTCTCTTCTTCAAGGAATGGCCTATGGACATGAAAGTGGAGTTATAGCCAAGTAGGCACTGGGAGTGAACAACGAATCCCAGGACATAGTTTACAAGTCATGTGCACTTCATTTGGCTTTCATGTGAATCACCAGGCTACAGCATACAGCAGCTGATGTCCAAGTTTAACAGTCCTTAAGCTAACAGAGGATAGTTGAACTGCTCCCTCTGATCATAACAAGAGGGGTCCTGCTGAAATATAAATAACTAATTATTGCCATACTATAATCATAGCTGCGACTGCACTTGAGTCATGCTGAAACTTACTGTATCTTTTCCCTATAAACTGTGGAAGTGTAGCAAATGGACTCTACATGATCTTTGTTATGAGAGCATAGTGTGGGATGGAGAGGGGGTCTTTTGCACCTGTCTGTTCCACCTGAAGCTTTTTGCCGTCTTCCTTACTGGCCTGAGCAGCATTGCCATTGCTAGACAACCGGTTACATGACGAACTCCTCTGCTTAACACCTGAGAGACAATGATGAAACACCAAGTGGTGAATTTACACTGCGGTCTCCTGTGAATGGAACAATGGCCCTTTAGGAACATGATTATAAAACCTGAGAAGGAAATAGCATAAATATGAAACCCAAATAATCAGCAATTTCACAAAGTAGAAATGGCACTGGCAACCCATAGAAGCTGTGGAGAGATATAAAACTACAGATTGTAATGATTATTTTTTTGTTTAAATCAAATATACTTGATGTCAATCAATTGTTTGTAATATTGTAACACACTTCCATACTACTATGAGGAATTATATTACAGAATCATACTTTGCTGCCAGGAATCCCTTCTGATTCTGAAAATTTGATTGATTACATCATAGGGGTGAATTGTGTTTATATGCGGCCAATTTGGAAGCCCATGCTAATTTATCATTAGTAGGAACCAGAGACAGAGAGCTAAAGCATCCTTTACCAGTCTGTCTGTGCTTCAGTAAGCCTGTGTGTAAAACCCTGGATCACAAGAGAGCAAAATGTTTAGAGTTCACTCCAGGCTAAAGGGTTGGAGTAAAGTTGGGTCTGCTCAAGATTAGTACATTGATGATCAGTGAAAAATAATTACCTCACTGATAATAGACTATTTGGCAAATAATACAATGGTTGAGACATAGTACAGGAATTCACAGAGGGGAGGGAGCAAAGAGAAGGGGGGAAGGAGGAGGGAGGGACTTACTTTTGTCGGGAGATTTGATGAGGGTAGCAGAGGAGGAGGATAGGCGTCTGCTGATTGCAGCCTCAGACGGCTGTTTCAGGTTCATGGTGGATGTGGAGCGTTTGTCCACTAAAAAGGGAGGAGGAAAGACAGACGAGGGAGGCGGGGTTTAAACTAGAGGTTTGCCAAAGGGGAAGGGCAACTGGGTTAACACAAGGGAGTACAGGGTTCTGCAAGATCCGAATATCCCTTATATTTGACAGTTGATATGTTGCTTTATCAAAATACCTCAAATATATCCACTGTATCCCCACTGACCTGTTGATATAATAGGCTACTAATGCAATGGATGTTAAACAAAACACATAAAACTTGACTCTGCTGGTACATAGTATGTTTAACATTACAATCTAAGTTTTAAAGCAACCATAACAAATGTGCTGTGCTTTTAGAGGCAGGCATAGTGGTTAATTTACAACATATGTTAACTTTTGACCTCTCCAAACAAGCATCGAGCATCAATACAATGTCCATACCAAAGAACCCACAGCTGTTATCCTGTTATCCTTTTTGTACTGGGCTTCCATGCAAAGTAACCCACATGATCTGGAAGAGCTAGGCAGTGTGAGTGAGTGAATGTTGGAGTGTCACCATCCTCTGTTTACCCAGTATAAGACACATTTGGAATACAGGCCCCATACAAGAAAGTGTTAGTGACAAACTGCCAGTTAGTGGTTGGTGGGGTGAGGGGTGGTGCTGGGAGAGAGGTATAGAAGATGGGCAAAGAAGCTATCATGAGTGCCAGTGCCAATCCATGCTGTGTTGCTACATTAGGGAGCAAATTATCAACACACAAAACCTTGTCGACTCCTTGGTGGCTTTTCTGGTGAGGCAGGGGAAATAACTACTGTTACGGGAGATGAGGCGCTGGCATCAGAGTCTCCTGTGGGAAAAGACAGCTCTCAGAGAGGAGCAGTAAAATAAGAGATGCTGAGGCACACCATACACAAGAGGGAAGAGTGAAGGTAAAATCTGGCTGGTTGATTGCTTTAAAGACCCAGGTATTGGAAGACACCAAGTTCCAAAGACGTTTACAGAATAATGTTCATTGAGAGTCAAACTGTTGGAGTGGTTGTGCACAGGAACATGTATTGTTGAGAGCGTGATAGCCTACAGTTGCAATTGTCATTTACATGAACTTCTTTACTCAGTAACTAAGAAGGATTGTATAAGTTTATTTTTAGCACAACAACACTGGAATTAAGAATTCCTGACAGCTAATAGAATAGGAAAGTACTATTACCAAGTCTGTATTACCAGTCTGTATTATCAATCATTACCAAGTCAATATAGAATGAGAAGTAGCTCTGATGCAGGGTTCACAAAGTGGTTAAATCTTCTGTTGAAACATACAAACAACAAACAAACAAACAAACAAACAAAGCCCTGTCCATCCATAGAACAAGGATTTTGGAGAAAATTATACACTGTCGTTTGTTTCAATATGCCTTTTAATATTAGTATAAGAATATGAGCTCAAATGTTAACTTAAGTATGACATGATCACATCGAACATTTCACATCTTGTTAGGAAGGAAGGCTCAGGGTATCCTAGTTGTTTCTTTGGTGCAATATGGACAGTGGATTATGAACTTTAATTGAATTTAGGGGCATAAAAAGAAAGGATTACATTTTTGTGGAATAGAAAGGTTTTCTACCTGTTCGTCCATCTGAGTCTGTGGAAAGTCCTCCCCAGGACCATCTTTTCTGCCTCTGCTCCACTCGTTGACTCCGCTCCAATGTCCGCCGCATCACCGCCTCATAGTGCTCCTGCAGCATAACAGGAGAAGAGAATCAAATATAAGTAAGTTAAAGCAAGAAACAATCATATCTTAAGTAGAAGTTGAGAGGACAAGACTAGCTAATCTGCTGTAATACCTTAAACACTGCTTAATTTAAAATAAATAATCTAAATTTTTATTAAAAAGTAGTCAATATGAAAATTGCAACAAAAAAAAAAACAGTTTCTACATGAATTTAAATGTTTTAGTCAAATCAGCTGAGCAAGCACTACTCTGAGGATCCCACAAATCTTCCACCAGTGCATATACCTTTTCCTCTTCCTGTTTCTGCTTCCTCTTCTCCTCCACAGCCAGTCGTTTCTGCTCCTCCTTTTTTCGCTGTTCGTCAACTTTTTTCTGACGCTCCTCCATCTGACGCTCTACTTGTAGCTTGGCCTTACGCTCCCTTTCCATGATCTGAGACTCTCGCAAAGCTAACCACACATACAGTGTGTCCGTGATGGAACGTTAGTGAATACAGGAAGAAAAGGAGAATGTTAGTATGCCGTCTTCTTCTTCTTCTTCTGTATCTTTATAAGGACTGAGTTGCTTATGACAGCAGAAACAGGAGCACACACAAACAGTTACAAATCCTCAGTTGTACGACATCAGAAAGTATGACAAGAAAACAGAAAAATCAGCAAGCAGCAAACACACCATTGATAATGACTATTACTGAGTTGATCAAGACAAATTACTTATGTGACAATGCTGCTAATCAGGGAATCTTTGACCGAACTTCAACAGCATCACACATAATTATAAAAGTCAGAGGCTAAAATATTGTTAGATTGTCCTCTTACCGTGTTGTTTGTCTGCTTCCTCTCGTCTCTCTTTCGCCACTCGCAGTCGGTCGTCTATTCTCAGTGCAGCACCGTCAATGACTGCAAACATATTCATGTGTTTATATACAGTTAAAAAGCAAACATGCGCAGCAATATGCACATTCAGAGAACAAAAGGGGTTATTGCAATGTGTCTTAGTGTTACAAAGACTTTGCATCAGTCAGGCAGATGAATGCATGTGGCTGTCATTTGTGAGCTTTGTCAACTGTTACAATAAAGGAGGATGACTAAGGTTTACCTGCAGTCGGTATTGAGGGTGGTGGAAGTGGATAGTGTTGCATCTAATGGTTCAGATTATAGAGGACAATGCGGCAGTACCTGTGAGAAACAATGTCAAGGTGTGGTTTCATTTACCTGGCCTACACCCCTGAGGTTTAGCTGGTACGTTGGTGGTAGGTCCTGGACTGTTCCCTGCCAGGCTGCGCCGCTCCTCGGCTTGTGCCTGTGCAGCTGCAGCTGTAAATCGGAAAACACGCATTAGACACAGAAAACAAGAGTTGAATCATGTCATATCGGTCATACCGAGTTTTTACCTGAAATTGGCCATTTTCTCTGTGCTTTGTTTGCTCTCCAGAGGAATTTTAGTTCTAGAGAGATCCAACAGATTTCAAGGCGCAGAACAATCCAGCTATTCAGCCGATTAACATGGCCCCTCGCTCATGGTCAATCGTGCAGCCTGCCCTAAACTTCTTTCTGTGACAAGCCTAGACCTTGGAGTCATAGCTCCTATAAGAGACATGCCTGGAATCAACCCCTGTGAGCTTCCAAATAAACAGCAACAATCCCAAGTGGTTTTAAGCACCACACCCCAAAAAACTGCTCACTTAAATATTCAGATGTATTATATTTCCAGCAATAACTTTTGCAATAGTTTATCTATCATGAGAAACCAGAACGTCAGCATGCTATACAGCACTTGCAGCAAAAAAAGAAGAAATGTCATCTCCATAAAAAACATTTTGTTTTGAAGACCCATAGATTCCTCTCAAGATTTTTTAGATGCAGGCTGATATACTTCAAGGTAAGTACATCAACACTCCCACCAAGACCACCAACTGCTCAGTATCACTTTCTTCAGCGCAAAACTATAACAGGAAAATCACATTTGGAGATACTGAAGCAGGAAGAAAGGAAACAGAGAGGACATGATTAAGCTTTATGAGCCCTGGTATCAGACATTCAGCTCTCCTCTTTCCTCTTGTTGGTCTGTATTCAGCATTTAAGAACTGCTGACAAAGCGGGAATGATAGTCATGTTCTACTTACATTATTGATGAGTTCTTCGATCAACTTCTTAAAAGTCTTTCATTGTCTATGATGAAATAAAACTCTATAGTTTCTGTAACCTTCAAAACTTACTGATATGTGTCCATAAAGTTATAGACAGAACTTTCTTCTGACCAACTGCTACCATCCTTACATCTAGACTTACAGACTCCTTTATCTTTAAAAGATCAGTCTGCCTGAAGTTAAAATATCTTTATGGTTACAATAGATTAAAAGTACATATTAACTACCTATGTAAGTTTTTGTATCATTAAAGTTAAAATCCATCTTATTTTTGAGAGTAAGCAAATCAATGCAGCCTAAGGGCTTCCATGTCATGCATTTACACTCAGCATGCAAACATTGAACAATCAAATGCATTTCACGATGCATGGCCTATGCTTTCACACCATTTGGCCATGAGACAAAGCACCAGCCAGTCATGAGCTACACTAAAATTAATCACTAGCAACTGCCAGGTTAGTCTCTAAGACATGAGGAAATATTCTGATATTTGCAATCATTTGGATTCAGAACAGAAAATATATCCAAACTTTAAAATAAGCTCATATCTCAACAATGAGCTAGATTTTGGTATATTCATTGCACGTCTTTTTGTCATCAAAATACTGAACATTTGAATTTTTTTTCCCTTTTTCACACGCTAAGAAGCCATTCAGACGTTACATTAATACAGTATATAACCTACATCAATGAACTCAATCAATGTCTTGAAGGAAGCCTAACAAGAATGAAAAGATGTATTACTATTGAATAGCTTTTCCCTCACCTTTCAGAGGGTAGACAAGATAAGAAAATAATAATAATAATTGTTTACCTTGGTTATTATATGCTTGTGACAACATGACCAAGGCTAGGATAGGAGCTATCAAAGCAGGCGATACCTGCTGAAAATATTCTGGTCCTGCTTGAGAGCAACACAAAAGATCTGTGTTTTTGAACTTAACTACACTGTAATTGGCTCACTGCAGCTAAAGCTAACTGTTGAGGGAGTTACTATGTTCAGTCTTTAGCACTGCAGAGGCTCCAGTGTTACAAAGTCTCATAAAGATGCTGAACATTATAGAGATGTGTGGGTCTTTTTTAATGCTAACGAAAAACAAAATGTTTTTTGCTACTTCACATCAAACTCTCACTCAAAATTCAGCCAGAGAAAGTGCTGTGTCGGTTTTGCTCCGAGTAAGATAAGGACATCTGTCTTTAAAAAGAGCCGCAAAAGTGAACTGGAATGGTCATATGATAGTGGTTATAGGACATTATCCAAGTTAGCAACACCTTTTAATTTTGTTGTCTTTACGTATGGAAAAAAATCCTGCTGTGCACACCACAGGCACTGATTATGGTTTCACACAGAACAGCATAGCGTGTATGTCCTGTCAACATGTAAATGACTCCACTACCTCTCCATTCTGAAATCGACCAAAATGAAGATTAATAAAAACATTTAAACTATAACACAATAGACATGTAAAGGCTAGTTACAATACTTGAAACATGCATCAGTAGTACCAGGAGCTGGCCAGAGGACAGAGAGCTGACAGGATAAGTGGCAGTCAATCATCCTCTGATTATCTGTATTATGCAGAAGCATCATTGCTCTCTAGTCAAAGCAGCTTATAAGGGTCAAAGTCTGCAGTTAATGCCCAGGGGAAATTAACAGGTCATCTCAGTTTCCCCTTAAGACTTCCAACTTCAACCACTCTGGCTGAACCAGGGGTAAATGAAGCACACATGACTGTGATTTTACAGCAATTTGATCCACAAGAGAAACTTTTCACTAACAAGGAAAGTTGCACAAACTCAAAGCAATACACTGCTTACATTTATTTAACTGGCTATAATATATGCAAATAGGGCTACATTGTATGTTTGACAGGCAGTATGGATTTGCATGTAATTAGGGTCACAGAGGATATGACTAGAAACCTTATAGCATCACAAATGGGTTTAATGAAATGATCAACACTCAGAAAAAGCAAACTAGTACAAAGGCATGAATAAATCACACACAAATTTAAAACATATTAACCCTCCATTTATCAAGATAAAAAAAAATATAGACTAAGTATTCAACTATGGTGATACATTTTTCAGGTTATTTAATAGAAATGTCGTGCCTTTTATATACTCAGTTACCTTTTTGTTACATCATATCTCACAAGTCACAGCCTCCCTGTTTTTCTCCCATTTTTAATGAAGGCAACTATAACACACCAGGCACTCTGTGTCACTTGGTTACTGTTGCTAAGTGACGGTCACAGCAGCTTGGGATGGATGAAGTGCTTCTCAATCATGCCTCTAAACCAGGCTCGGATCTGTAAGTTAACGTTAACTCTGAAATGAGACGATTCATTGCTTACTAAAGGGAAGTGAATGGTAAAAACTTTGAAGGTCGAGACATTTCTGTCAACACTGACTTCATATATGAGCTGTGCAGCACTGAATAAAACAAGTTTCAGGTTACATAATTTACATATTAAGCAATACTGATGATGCAACCCATTATTATCGATGTAAGATAAAACTGAATCATCTCACCCAAGTATAAGGTTTTGGTATCATAACCTCAAGTAACGACATGACAGGTTTTAGACTTCAAGCGAAGTGACAGTTGAAAACTTTAGAGGGAAGTGAAAACAGACTTGAAAGCACACAGACATACAAGGTAACACTGTGCAGACTTTAGTAGTGCAGTGTTTCCCCTAGGTTTAGAGCTCGAAGGCGGGGCGGGGGACACTGACTGGTGTAAATCTTCTTATTAGAGATGCACCTTTTTTATCTGGTGTGACATGCAAATACTGATTTTCTTTCTTTAAAGCACTATGATTTACAGCTAAAAGAAATGATTTTTGGAACTTTTATTTAACTGAAATAAATTGTATATTCATAATAACACAGTGACTGTTAAGTAACTGTTTATTACAAAATATCTTAAAAACTGCCTCAGGCTACATGACCATCTCTCATTCTCACTTAACCTAATCACTGGAACATTTTGAGTGTATTTTAACCTGTATTCTTCTTTATTTACATGCTGTATTTTAATGGTAGAAGTGTCTTTATAAAGTAAAACCAAAAAAAGGTATTTAATTATATTTTAAAATAATACATGAATTGATCACCCATTGATGTATTGTTTCACACTTAAATGCAGAAAATTACTGTGTTTAGTTTACTGGTAGTTTTTTTTTTTTATTTGACAGCGGCCATGCCCATTACATTTGTTGAGCCAGACTTAGCTAACAAGCTAATAACGTGGCCCTTTATCCAGTTTCCACTTTAATAAGACTTATGGAAGATGGGAGGAAGGTACTGTTTTCTCAACAGACCTCAAGAGGACCAGGTTTACTCATAGAAAGGCAAAAGAGCCAACCAGAACAAGTGTTGCTCATCACTCCATCTCTATGGAGATTTGCACATTGTAACATACATCATTGTTGCTGGCTGCATCAACTGACTCAGCTAAATACTTCAAAAGATTAAAAGGAACAAAAAGTCATTAACTGAAAATACACTTCACTGTTGAACTATATAATCAAATGTTCATGCAAGTGCATTTTAGTCAAGCGGCAACCTTCAGTGTTGAAAAATGAAGCCAACAGGGGAGTGCAAAATCCCACAGTTCATTGAGTGACTGCTTGAGGCTGGCTGCAAGAACCAGAAGTGACATACACACCCATACAACAAAGCATTAGCTCATGTCTCTATTGGCACACACTGTACAAGTGATGAATATATTGATAACTCAACAGTTTAGATTTCATGACGATTAAGTGTTATTCACAATAAGGTGCGCAGTTGACCTGACGGACGATGGGCGTGGTGTAGCTGTTTGTCATGAGCCTTAAGACCCCCCTCAGCTCCAGCTCTTAGTCTGTCTTTAGGTTGACTGAAAGTTATGGTGAGACAACATTTCATAAGCCCCCTGCAGTAACAGACTGGTGAAGTCACTCAGGCTTTGTCATTAATATTTACAGTCTATGGTATTAGTTTTGGATTGAATGTAATTGTTTAAGAGCAGTCTGCAAGGGTGTGACATTTTAAATAATAATCCAAACATAATATATCATGTAGGTTAATGTGATGGATTTATGCCTGTGATTATTCATGTAAGCCATACACGATATATAAAATCTGCAACTGTGACACTTATTTCAGGATCATCCAACAGGTTTAGGCAGCAGGAGATGCTTATAAAAAACAGGAAAAGATTCTGTGTAAGGCACATATACATATTGATTGCATGTGGTCTGACTTTCCAGCTACTGAGTTAATATGGAGGTGGTAAAGACCACCAGGGGGGCTGCTGATGACCCCACTCTACAGCCCAGACAAAAACACCAAACAGGAAACTGGCCAGCCTGTATTACATCATAACACTTCTGGTTGAATGCTAACACGGATCAAAAGCCAGTTATAAAACAAGCAAGATCTTTAGACAATGTTTGCTGTCTCTGTCACAAAAACAATGTAGTTACAGTGCAAGAGCAGGTTAGGTATCTTCTCTGTGCCTACTTCCAACTGCAGCATTTACTGTGCACTGCTGCATGGTATAATTAAGCAGCTTGTTGCACCGGAAGTGTCTGCAGGACTTAATGACAGGGTAGCTTTGAGGGCCGCAGGGATTTCTTCCTCAACTCAAACACAGGTTAACAGGCTGATTCATTGTAACAAATATTGGTCAAAATATTCTCAAAAGAGGCCTTTGTTGTATGTGTCTAATCACTGGCTCAAGATTTCAGGTCCTCAGATAACACTGCTGATGCATGCTCGTGCACACACCAGACCTTCCATGGGATTACACGACCTGTTCATGCAAAGGTAAGCCTAGGCTATTTGCAGTACTTGCAGGATCATGATGACACAAGAGTCTCTTCTTACAGGTGGACCACAGTATCTTTGAAGGTGGACATTTTAGAGATGTGATCATATCCAGATCCATTATTAAATCTAATCATTAATGCATTGCTGCAATAATCTTTTGATTAACCGATTGAAGGCAAATATTACAAATATTATCTGTAATATACACGTACAGATAAATTTAATTCCATTTTCAGAAGTATCTTTGAAGATTTAAAAATTAATTGATTCATTCAATTGAGATAGATTGTAGATTCATCAGTAATTAAATAACTCTTAGTGGCAGCGAGGCTGTCTTGGCTCTTTCCTATTTGTATATGATAAAGCATTGGGTTACGGTGATTAAACAGATTATACAATAAAGGTTTTAATGTAAATCGACTAATCTGTTAGTCACTTCTCTTTACCAGAACAGCAGAAACTATGGGTACCTCTTGTAAAAAAATATACTTAAAAGTATTCTGGAATTAGAGTTACATGCCAAAAGGCAGAGTGTTAGTAGACCTCACAATCAAATCTCCTATTATTTGGTTTGTAGGACTTACTAAACCAAAACAAGTTAGGACAAGAGTGCTGAACCAAAAATAAAATACATATCTCACATACACAAATCAGAGAAAATATATCAAATGCAAGTATTTTGTAAGTAGGAAATAAAGATAAACCCCCAAAAAACAAGATCTTATTTTGATAACTGATTGATTCCTTATCTCATGGACATAACTCCTCTGAAGATAGAAAGGCAGACTTTAGTTGTAGTTTACACAAATTCACATGTTTTGCTATTCAAATGTCTGGTTCGTGTGTGTATGTGTATGCACGCACAGACTGCAAAACATCCAATCAGTCGATTTTAAAGGTTAAAAGAGAAGAGTTGAGTGAAACACACAGAACCATATCTGGGATCTGAGTCAAATTAAGGCTGGCCCATTTCCTCCGTTGGTTAAATCCAAGCAGCTCAGAAATACTTCTCATGCTTTTAATTCTGCAGCAGCAGTTGCTGAGCCAGGATCAGGATAACCTTGTAGTGTGACTTGCAATGGTGTGATCTCCCTTTATAATAATGGGGGTACATTTTCTGCTTGCTCACATTCTTGTGTAAATAACTGCACAGGAGCTAGATTCCTAACATTATTTTTATCATTATCAGCCTTCACGCTCTGCCTGGAGGCCGAGCACAAATTGACATCCAGAATTCCAACATTTCACATCGCTGTAAAGCTTTTGGATATTTTCATAAAAACCACAGGATTGGGTGGATGTTAAATTCCAGATTGAAAATACTGAATGGAAAAGTCAAGGGAAACAGGAAGAAGATGAGGACTAAATATGGTCCAGTTATTGCCAGGAGTAAAACATGCCTACACCCACATTAAGTATGCAGAAAACTCCCTTTACCCTAAAAAAACCCCCCCAAAAAAGTCAGCCAGGCTGCAGCTCAAGTCATAACAAACTGTGCATTCATGCCCACAGAAGCAGACACAGTAAACATCCATTTTCTGAGAGACCCATTGATTGAGATTTTGCAGCAGTTGGCTTACATAGTGCTATTTACAAAAAATGCAATGTGCTTTTTTTTACTTGACAGGCCTGTTTGTGACACCAGGCCTTGTCAAACCCCAAACTCCTCTCTATCGCTTCATCTACTAGAACACGCTGCTTTATTCTCTTCACAGAGCTCAACTTGTGATACTGTCTGACACCCCAGCATTATGTGAAATTCAGGTCAGACATTGTTATAGTCACCCTCCCTGGTGAGTGGTGGGGGTTATGCCATATGTCAACAAATACGAACAAGCAAATTGGTGTAAGCGAGAAAGTAGCATTTTGGATTACAACATGATATAGTTTTTTTTTTACATCATGAAGAAAAGACAAAACTGCCGAGGAAATGGTTTGGGTAATGTGTCTTTTTGGACAGCGACTCAACCCGCTGTCAAATTTCAATACAACAGAAGAAGAAGAAGAGAGAAAACACTTCCTGCACTCTTCCTGATAGAGATAGCAGATGATCACTTCAGACGATAATCCCCAAGTGATGTAGCCCCCCCTTAACGACGAGAATACCACTCACAAAACAACTTAGTTAGCTTCGTTTACCCAACCAATTGCTGTTTGTTTATCCACCCAAATATATTCACAAAGCACTTTCAGGTATTGTGATTAAAAATGCATTAAAGCAAACACAGCTAAGCAGAATGCTAAGTAAGCTAGGCGCCAGACAAGTAAAGTCGTCATGTGTCAACCGGCTCTAACAAAATATAACTTCAGTCGCTCGGTCGCTAAAGCACATGCACTTAACTTTAAGTAAGTTAACCCCGTCCCTTTCGCTATTACACATTCAGAAGTGTGTTAAATTCTGCAAGTACAGTTTTTCAAAGCGTCAATGCGGGAAGAAGTTGCAGATTTTCCGCATCCATTGTGAGCAGATAACCGGACGAGAGAGCTAACGTTACTAGCCGGAGAAGCTGGCCGCCGTTCAAACAGCCCGGTTGGTTTCCAAGCCAACGTTACAAAGTGAAACAACATTGTAAGACACAGCTGAGTTGAATAAACCAAAAGTAGGATTAAATATCTCACCTATTTGGGCTCGCAAGCCTTTGAGAGTCGTACTACCCTCCGCCATTTCTCTGAAGTTTTCCTTCTCTGTTTTTTTTTTTTTTTTTTTTTCTAAAGCAGGGGCGCGTAACACATCGCAGCCGGTAGGACTCGGACACCGCGGGGACGTGGACATCAAAGATATGGTGAAAGAGGAGAGGTCTAACTCGGACAGTTTCTCGGACCAAGAATAAAGCGGATGAACAGCATGCAATATGCTTCACTTTGAATGTAAAGCTTTTCATTTCTTTTTGGGTATGGCCAGTTGTTGTAATCTTTATTACAAAATAAAAATCATCTTTAAAAGTAATTCTATGCCGCAGCCAAAACATAATTCTTATTTGAATTGTTTAAAATTCTGCCACGAAAAATCTTATATTGTTTAGTTAAATTTATTTTAAGATATGTACAAAAAAATATATCCTTAATAAAACACTTAAATTAAGAAAATACATTTATTAGACAACAATGCTGCAGGATGATGTCGCTGCTGTACTAACTGCAAAACCTCGCAACTGCGGTGAGATGTTAACTGCTCTTCGTTCGCTTTCAAGAAAGCTGCATGCCTCCAGGAGGTTGCAGGATTTTGGAGATTACTTCTGTCTGTGTAAGGCTTTTAGAATCAGAGCGCTTGTATAAAGCTGTGCAAAACGCATGGCGTGCCATTATCAAGCCATAATGTTAGAATAGTAGTGGTCCATCTAATTTAATTGACGATCTATGCGGGTAAAGAAAACCCATGTTCATCTCCCCCTGAAGTTCAATTGCGCCCTCTGGCGTTTATATGGATGTTTTGTATGTCGGTACACTGACAGTCTATCCACCAGAGGAAGCCTACTGACAACACCAGCAATTATGACTCAGAACCAGTTATTAAAACCAGCATTATGGACTCTAATGAAGCAAGGCGGATAAGCTGAACAAAAAGAATAATAACATATAATAAATAAATAAAAATAAATAATATAACATATCTTTGATTAGGCCTTTAACATTCAAAGGTTTTCAGAATGAAGAGAACTAGACAGAGAATATAATTATCCATACTGAGATTGTTTAAAACAAGTAATTGTAAAAGAAAAAAATCAAATCTTACCAGTGTGAGTCTGCTGAAGGATCCTTACCGTTAAAGATCAAGTTAAATGGTCTGTAAGCAAGCTTCTCCCAATGAGAGACTATCACACTTTCTCATGGTTCTCTGTTCTTTCTCTTGACCTGAACACTGTATCCTCTGTCTCAGTCAGTCTCACATGCTTTAGCCAGAGGGCCTCTCATCTATTTTACATGGTAAACAGGAAGTAACACAGCATGCAGGGTTAAGTTGCAATGGCCTGGATTGGATCTGGGGTTATTTAACACTCAAAGCACAACCACTCCTTCACCCTATCAAAAACGTGCCATCTTCAAGTAATATGATTCAGAAATGTATCTCAGGTTTAATATTCATTCGTTTAAAATGAAATTGATTTCTGACGGGAGAAACTTCTGTAAGAGCAAAAATGTTGGGTCATCCATCCACTGTGTTGAAGCTGGCGCCATGGTAACACATCCTTGGGTCTAAGTGGCCCACTTGTTCACCACAGCTCTGCGTATCCGAGCAACAACCTGAGGATTAGGCAGGAGTGCTGCAGCCTGGGCTGTGTGTAGGTGGAGGTGCGCAGGTACTGAAAAAAAGGTCCTCAAAGTCACAGAGATGAACAGTGACCTAAGGTGGGACGCCCAAAGACTGATCAAGTGTCCTCAACATGTCCTTGTTATTGGCAGGGTCAAGCTGCAGGGACAAGTGCTGTACTGAGTCATCGTCAAGCCTTTTTAATTCTTTGATCTGGACAGAGTTAGAAAATAATCACCATAATAATCTTCAGAAAGGAATTGTAACTGATGTATTAACCTGGTAGGTGGCCACGCACTTAAGCCAAAGGAAAACATATCCTGGTCCCTGAGCCCGATCCCAGACTGTCTGAAGTTGTCACTCCATCTGAGATTGACATAGAAAACTAGAAAAGGTAGTGCAGGTCTCATCTTCATTCTTCAAGGAAAACGATTGTTTTCATACAGTATATAATTGGTATTTTTTAAAATTGTTAACTGTGGGCAGTTGTTGGTGGTGATCTTCTTCTGTAGATTAATAGAAAAAAGAAACCAACACTCAGTTAAGAACTACAGTAAATTAATAATATACTGTTTATGTGCACTTGCTGGCATAATGTATCAAATCTTTTAACGTCATGTGGAATTACATGTAAAGTACAAGTACTCAATTCTGTACTTAGTGCCATCCCTATAATAATAATAACAATGATGATTATTTGGAACTAGATTAGACAGTCAACCCTTAAGAATTATGTAAGAAAGAAAACAGCTTAAGTAAGACTTGCCATGAGCGAAGCAGCGTAACGATGACCTCATTTGGGGAGATTTTGTGGAGTGTGTCATCCTTCTTTTGTTCAATTTATTCCCTAAAAAAAAAATGTGTTCTTTCACAAACTCAAGAACTTCCTTTGTCAAGGAACATATACTGGACTGTATATGAAATATGACACATACCAGAGGCACACCAAAGAAAGGAAAAATATATTTACTTGCCAAGTTTAAAATGCATATAGCTCAATAAGTGCATAATCACGAATAAGTCTGGTTTGCTTCCATACAAACTGGTGCTCATTTAGCAGAGGTAAATTATTGGGAGTTATTTTTGAGAAATTACCTAATGCTACATCATTTGTGACGCAAGAAAGGTTCCCAACAAAACTATCAACCAGTGGACCAATAAATATTAGATGTTTAGGTCCCCCCACCAGGGCTCCTCATGTCACAAGCAGTCATATCATATTCTCCCTTGGGAACTCCCTTGTTCTCGCTCAAGCATCTTGGACTGGGCGGCAGAGGAGTAGGGAAATGAATAAAAATGTATGAATGAGATCTTTCTTAGAGAATGTGTTTCAAAGAAACGTCTGTGCATGTGAGAGTGTATTTGCTAGCTTGAAACATATCTTAAACTCTACGCCCAGATTCTAGTAATCGAGGTTTCAACTGGCTGAAGACTCATGTTATATAAGCCATAGTCTGAAATCGTACAGTTGCAATAAACTGTTTGTCCACACTGTGGTAGTATGGAGCCATCAAACTGCCAACCAAATCCCCATTCTGATGCCATATAATGGGCATAAAAAGAAGAGTCACTGACTATACTGGTAGTTTAATGTTTCTCCGGCTTAACAGAAGGATGTATACTGGCTTTTCAATAACTCTTTAGAGTACAACTGTAAAGAAGACACACAAGGCCAGCAGATGTCACACAGTAAAGCCAATTACATTTGTTTGAGCAGTTATCACTGGAGGTTCATTGTAAAGCTTTTGAGTGTTTGAAGAAAATTAACAGTGACCCAAAGAGCAGAGACACACACACACACACACACACACACACACACACACACACACACACACACACACACACACACACACACACACACATGCAAACCTGCTCTCTAAGTCAACATAATCATGACTAGTGAAGATTGTTGACATCATTGTTAAGGAAACATTCAGAAGATGTTGGATTGAGACCGACCATGTTTTTTTTTTATCTGCAGATCAGAACACATAACATGTAAGAAGACATTTTAAAAATAAGTGTATGTAACAACCCTAAATATGAAAATACAAACAGACAAACTGGGAAAACTGTGATAAATCTGTCATTAACAACAATACACAGCACTGTAGTCTTCAACATACTGGAGTCTGGAGTTAAACTTTAAGCCTTGTTAAGATAATTATTACAAACTCAAACTGTCACTTAGCCACTGGAACTCTAACAACTCAGCCATGTGCTTAGTAATACTGGACGCAAATGCTTAATAAATATGTTAATGTGAGTATTTCTTTGGCAAAGGTTTCATGAAGGTTTAAATGGCATTTTTCTTGTCAGTTATATTTATGGCCATTGATTAATGAGTAACTCTGGGAACTAAACGGAAAGGGCGTGGAGGTCTACTTATAGACAATTAAAGTGACGCTTAGGAGCAGACTCGTGGCTGAGCCAGCTTCTTATGAGCTAATTTGATCTCTTAATTTCTCACAAAATTACAATACAGATCTGTCCATTCATAGGACATTATGGTAAGTCAAAGTCACATTTTTTTAGTATGAATACATTATTATTTATTGTATTTTTCTCACCTGTGTGACTGCAAATAACAACGTCTAATTGTGTAAACATTTGGCAGATGATCACTTGACTGACACTTAAACTCCTGCGTTGTTGATGTGGCCATGAAGTCCGTCAGAAACCTGTCTTGTCTCGCCTTCTGTCTGAGTATACTGCTGGCAGTGTGTCTACTCGGCTCAGGTAGGATTTCTTAATCATTTGAAAGCCTTGGCAATATTTTAGTAGTCAGGAAATATCACACAAATATCCTCAGGTACCTTACTGTGTTTGGTACCAGCTCTTTTATCTCTGGGATTACTCTATTGTGTCTTTATTGTGTTTGCATTCTTTTATCGTGGCTTGATAAGATCTGAACTGAGCTGAGAACTAATGATTGTTTTGTCTAATCTACTTGCCTCTTTTCCTTTTATGTGTTTTATCTTCAGCTGCCTCTGACAGTAACAGTCTGTGGGGTAAGAAACTGAAGTTCATAGGTCGTCCTTGTTTGTGGCAGCTACACCCAAACACTGCCGTACCAGCCCTTAATGAGCTGACTGTATGCATACTTTTACGCCTTGAGCTTTTAACAGAATGGACAGGTTTTGACTACAAAGCACCAGGGCAAAGAAGCATAGAGCTGGGACTTCAGGGCAAAGGTCAAAAGGGATCAGTATGGCTGTTTGGAAGAAAAGTACCCTTGACAAAGGAACTCAAATCAGACAAATGGTACTCTGTTTGTGTCACCTGGTCTGGACGAGCTCAGAGGCTACGAGTCTACATCGATGGAGACAAGGAGCTTGAGGTTTCTGTGGCTCCCCTCTCGCCCCAACATCTGGCCCCAAATGGCACTCTCACTCTGGGGGTGTCTCATTATGTATTAAACAGTGAGGTGCAGGAGGAGGATGGGAAGGGTCTGTTTGGCGACATTGGTCTGTTCAGGATGTGGGCGAGAGAACGGAGCGCCGAGGAAATTAAAGAAAATAATTGTTCTGATGGAGATGTGGTGAGCTGGGACTTGCGACAATGGAAATACAACTGCCCTCCAGAGCCGGACAGCCATCTACACTGTGGTAAATACAGTTTGACCTTTTTCAATTGCATTTCATGGTCAATCAGGTTAGAAAAATAAATCACTTCCAGTTTTCCCCGCCTGTTCACACAGCAAGGCAATCTGCTGTAAGTGAAAGTTGAATGAGTTGGCAGATAATACACTTTGCTGTAAAAGTGCAAGGTCAAAGAAAGGGCGAACAACACATTCCTAAGTTCATAAAACACCTTGGTGTTAGGTCTAACATTTTTCTTTCTTATTGTTTTTTTTAGCATGGTCACTGTACAAAATCAAAATGTGGACATTCTTGGATACCTCTCTGAAGGCTGGAAAATGTCCTATGTCGCTGGAGGAAGTCGCGAGAAACTGGGTATGAAAAATATCGAGAAGATATGGATTGGATTTTCCAACCAATGACACTGAACAAACAGCCAGAATAAAATGATTTACCTTTGTTGTCGTCTCTTATCAGCTGGAGAACATTTTCCCTCCAAGGATTTCTGTCCGTGAAGTCTTTGTGTCATCTCCAAGGTAACACAACTTCAGTTTGAAAAACACTCCTGTACATTTATCAATTCTGCCAGACAAAAAAAAAAAAAACAGTTAATAAAAGATTGCACACCAATTACACCTATGAGCCAATTACAACAATGCCAAAAGTGTTAGTGAGATGTAACAGTTGTTATTGGTCAACTAGAACACATTTAAAACATATATGCAGTTTAGATTTGTTTGGGATAAGTGAATTGTGTTTTATGAATGTATGCAATTAGATGTATTCTTTTTTTTTTTTTAATTGGAAAGCTGGCAGAACCTAAAGCAAAGTGACAAGTTCGATATTTCCCTGGAATCGTATTGGTGTAAATTTAAACACAGCATTATGTATTCATAATAAATAGTGTGAATTTGTAGTGCAATGCTTGAGGAATGAACAGAGTTACTTTTCACTTCTGTTGGCTGGTGTTTCATCAAGATCCAGAAGCTCTGGGCTTGTATTGGCAGTGAATTACAGGGATGACTGGTGCATTATTAGTTTAGACTCTGATCATAGTGTTGCTCCCCAACTATAACTCCTGTCTGTAATTTCTCTTTTCTGTGTTCCCATACAGCAGAAGCTGCCATGGGGTTAATAATTTTTCAGCTCTGCATGTGGAACGACCTCAGGTACACCACTATAAGTGCTCAGTTTGATTTTCCATGGAAAAAAGAAGCAATATCCTCAGAGAGAACGATTAGAGAACAGATGAAGTGCTTGAGACAGTTTTCTTTTCTGAGGAAATGACTACCGGTAATACAGCTTTAGTAAATATATAACACAGCTTTGTGTTTCTAGGCATCATTGGCATCCTCCGCCTGTGATAACTGGTAAGTCCCACAGTTTACAAGAAGGACGCATGACACAAGATGGACGTAAGAGCCAGATCATTTCCAAACTTAGGTAAAGATAACATGAGGAGTTCTTCCATGTCATTGTGATTCATCTCAAGTTTCAGCTGTGAAGTCTATGTGAACGTGGATCCTGCTGTTAATGTGGACGTGGTTCAGGCAAACATCACTGCTCTGCTGAGTGGGAACTACTCTTCTGACTTCCTCAACCTGACAGCTGACCCTTATAGCATCAGCGTCCTACCTGTAGGTACGTTTAGTCTCTAGAGTACACATCTCTTCCTCTCATGAAAGCCAGCAAAATGTAGTCAGAGTTGTGTGTGAGTGGACTTCTGCCAAAGATTAACCAGACATAGATTTTTATGACCTTTGAAATTGTCCTGAAAAAGGATGTATGTTGGTGTCACGTGTAAGTACATACATAATTATGCAATGTTTGTTTAGTTCTGTGTTTTATAGACACAAAGAAGTCTCTGGCTCTAATTGGAAATGTTTACCTGAAGCAAGAACATAAAAAATATCAATTTGAGTAATTCAATTAACCTAACACTTTCGCTGATATTGTTTAGTTACCGAATTAAAAGGATGGTGCATTCTGCAGATACATGCATAACAAGGATAAATGATATCAGCACCTGCAGAAATACATATAATTAATGCACATCAGATATAGGACATTTTTGTGTTACTTAAAATACTTTCAGATGTTTTAATCAGTCTAAGAAAAAAACCTTAATTAATATTCCCATATTCAGCTATTTTCAACTTTTTTTTTTACATGTTCGTTTTTTTAATATTAGTGAGTCATATAATTTAATTCAATTTCAGAGTCTTTCCCTGAAGTGACAAAACCAACTCCGACTGTCATCACTGAATTACCTACATCAGGCGAACCAACTCCGACTGTCATCACTGAATTAACTACATCAGGTGAACCAACTCCGACTGTCATCACTGAATTAACTACATCAGGTGAACCAACTCCGACTGTCACTGAATTCATCACTGAATTAACTACATCAGGTGAACCAACTCCGACTGTCATCACTGAATTAACTACATCAGGTGAACCAACTCCGACTGTCACTGAATTCATCACTGAATTAACTACATCAGGTGAACCAACTCCGACTGTCATCACTGAATTAACTACATCAGGTGAACCAACTCCGACTGTCACTGAATTCATCAATGAATTAACTACATCAGGTGAACCAACTCCGACTGTCATCACTGAATTAACTACATCAGGTGAACCAACTCCGACTGTCACTGAATTCATCAATGAATTAACTACATCAGGTGAACCAACTCCGACTGTCACTGAATTAACTACATCAGGTGAACCAACTCCGACTGCCATCACTGAATTAACTACATCAGGTGAACCAACTCCGACTGCCATCAATGAATTAACTACATCAGGTGAACCAACTCCGACTGTCATCACTGAATTAACTACATCAGGTGAACCAACTCCGACTGTCATCACTGAATTAACTACATCAGGTGAACCAACTCCGACTGTCATCAATGAATTAACTACATCAGGTGAACCAACTCCGACTGTCATCAATGAATTAACTACATCAGGTGAACCAACTCCGACTGTCATCACTGAATTAACTACATCAGGTGAACCAACTCCGACTGTCATCAATGAATTAACTACATCAGGTGAACCAACTCCGACTGTCATCAATGAATTAACTACATCAGGTGAACCAACTCCGACTGTCATCACTGAATTAACTACATCAGGTGAACCAACTCCGACTGTCACTGAATTAACTACATCAGGTGAACCAACTCCGACTGTCATCACTGAATTAACTACATCAGGTGAACCAACTCCGACTGTCATCACTGAATTAACTACATCAGGTGAACCAACTCCGACTGTCATCAATGAATTAACTACATCAGGTGAACCAACTCCGACTGTCATCACTGAATTAACTACATCAGGTGAACCAACTCCGACTGTCACCACTGAATTAGCTACATCAGGTGAGCTCGCAAGAGAGGATAAAGAATCAATTTCTTAGAGCATGTTTGCAGATTTTAATATTAAATTCAAAAAGTCTCTAAAAGGCACATTGTTTTCTTATGTTTGAAGGGTATTCTTGTAAACTTTGTCCTTTGATTAACAAAAACAGGTCCAACTGAAAGCCTGCCAGCTCGACCTGGCAACATGTCAACGACTAGAGAGCCTCTAGATCTCAATGAAACCATCGGCCAGTTTTTAGAAAAAAAATGCGATACATAATTTTCCATCCACTGTAATTTCTTCTTCACAATGTTTAAGAACTTTGTCCAACGAGAGAACACTTTTTTTTAAGGCAAAATTTTGGGCTTTTGTGGCCTTATTTAGATAATAGTACAGTGAATAGAGTAGGACACTGGGGTGGAGTGACATGGGGGAAAAGAGCTGAGGGCCTGATTGAACTCGAGCTGTCTGCTTCAAGGACTACAGCTTTTGTACAGATGGCACAAACTTAGTCTACTGCTATGCCAACAGGCATCCCAGAAAACGTTTTTAATTGGAGACAGCATTGAAACAGTCACAATACATGTTAAAAATCACAAAAAGGTCAATTATAATATACGTATAAGTGCAACAGAAAAGTGGATAGTAGACCTACCGACAAACACAGCAAAGTAAATATTAATGCCATTAAGGCTGATTCAAGAGGGAATTGCTTTTTATTTCAAAGTGAAGGTTTTAATTGCAAACTTGATGGGTGAAAACTTGAACTAGCTTTGAAATTCTGTGTTTTAAAACCTGAAAGTCTATCAAAAGGAATCCTGATCAGTGTGGCTAAACTTTTGGGGATTTTGGAATTATTCTACTTGCTTATTTGGTTGTTCCCTGTCTTAAGCACCACATTTAAATGTTGTTTCAACAAATCTGCAAATGTATGCCTGATTGGAAATATCTCATTCAATATGCTTCCCTGAATGGTGCATTGTCTGCCTTCTTGTTTTTGCAGTTGGGCCAGATTTGTTCTTCAGAGTTGATCTGAACTTGAATATTACAGGCAGTCCTACAAATCCAAAGGGTGACATAACGACATGGGTAAGAGACCCACACAAAAACACTTTGTCATTTTCTCCAACGAAAACAAGCTTACACTGAGTTATTCTCTTGGGTCTAAAGGTGAAAAATCAGCTGGAGGTGAATAACAGTATGATTGTACTGAACCTCATCATAGAAGAGGTTAATGGCAGGTGGGCACTGGATTTATTAGTTATGGCATACCTAGCATTCAGGTTATATCAATATATATCACATGAAGCTCTTTAAAAAAGATGAAATCTCTTTTTTCTACTGCATAGGTACATGGAGCAGTACAATGGACACATGGTGAGTATATATATGTCATTGTTATCGTATCCAACTTAAATAAAAGAAGACAAACAAAACTAATAAGTGCAATTTATTTTATATTTCAAACTATTTTCCACAGAAGTTGAGTCATCAAATAAGAATTCATATTGAAGTCATTACAGTACATCTCTCTGATTCCTTTCTTTTAGATTTTGAACGGCCAACAAACACAGTAGGTGACTGAACAATGAAAACCATAATGATGCTGAAAGCTGAAGCCTCCCTGTTTTCTTCTGTAACACAGCTTGATTTGTACTGAACTCTGGATTGACTGTATCAAAGCCTTGAAGTTAATACTCATGTTGTGTTTTTCATCTACAGATATAACTGTACCTTCCATGTTCAGGAATTCAACATGAACAGTGTGGAAAATAATAAAGCTCTAATCCATGCCGCACTGACGTCAAAGTATGAAAATGGATCATTTACTATACAAACTATTCACTTAGTGATCAAGCATATAGGTGAGACCATTTTCTCAACACCATTTGGAAAGAGAACTTACCAGTAGTCTAGTTAAATTAAACTTGGTTGCGCATATTTTTTTTTTTTAGTGCCAGAAAACTGCTTAGAGGAAACCACTTTCACAATCTTTGGAGAATATATTTGGCCTGAAGCATTTCCAGAAGTTACCCAGGAAATGGGATGCAAGAAGCCAAAATCAGAAAGAGCCTCCAGGCTTTGGTAAGACATTAACTTAAACCATACCCAATGTGTTTCCACTGTATAGTCAGATTGCTGGTTTATGACAAGGTTCAAATCTATTTTATCTTTTTCATCAGAGTCTGTTTCCATGCAGACAGCTGAGCGGTACAAGATAATTCCCTCAATAACAATGTCCTGTTTCAATCAATCATCCCATTTACTGCACATATAAGCTGATAGATCACTGCCAGTGTTTAACAGATGCAAAAATCAATTTCCTATAAGTGAAGTATTATTAGTGCAATAAAGGGCTTCCATCTCCCTTGTGTTATTTTTGCTTAATTAAATATCACTGAAGGGACAGGGACTTGGTAATAATCAGGTTTATGGTCTGTTAGTGTTAATGGCACTCTGCTTTGATAGTTATTAAGTCCAAACACAGTCATCAAGAGAGGACAGGTGGTTTTATATACTTACCACCACCACAGGCTGAAATATACACATGCACAAACAGGATCCTATGGACATGCAGTAATGGAGAGATGTCAGAGTGAGGGAGTTTACAAACCAGTTAAGTTACCAGTTAGTTCACCACCTTAAGGTGGATTCAGGGCGGACTTGGGCTGACCTGCTACCATTTGTTTGTACCCTAAAGTCACTGAAAAGAATACAATTATTTGTGGATTATCAGATGAAAAGAAGGTGTTTGTTTACTTTTCCTTTTGTCATATTCACTCTGATTTTCTACTCCCTACAGCAAGTTAGACATTGAAACTGACCGGACCAGCTGGTCTGTTCCTGATATGACAAATTGTAAACCAATTGTAACCATATCAGACTTGGAAAATATCAATGTCACTACTGGTAAGAGGATCAGCCGTACAGAAATCGTTTTATATTTCATTGCTTTTCATTTTATAGAAAAATAAAATATTGCCACTTTAGAAGCCCAATAAATAAAGAAATACCCTTTCTTGATCATTCTTTTTTCCTTATCAAACTAAAAACTTGCAAAACATGTTTAAAAACAACAATGAACTCATTGGTTTTCAGGTAACGCGGAGCAGGTGGTGGACATGATTCAGGACCTTGTAAGTAATCAGTTAGAAAACAATACAGAGCTATTTTCCGCTGATCTGGATACAGTTGTGGACAAGCTCGGTGAAGTGGTTGATGCCAGTGTCGTCATACCCGCTGTTGGTGCAGATATTGTCAATATTGTTGCTGATATCCTGCTTTCCAAAACTGACATCACTCCTGTGGCTAGCATGTAAGTGGAGAGAGAAGTGGGTCATCTCAGAAAGTGATATCCCATCTAAAATCTTGTTTGTATTAATCTTAACTTTCTTTTGATATGTGTGGCTTCCTCTCTTTGGAAATAGTGTCCTAAATCTAACAGAGAGAATGGGTAACAAAATGGATTTCCAAGATGAATCTGTCAATGTAACAGCACCTTCACTGGCCCTGTCCATGGTCAATGTAGACCCAGGTGACTTCAGAGGCCTCACCTTTGGTGTGTCCTGCACTTCTCCAATCCTAAACCCAAAGGTGAGTTGCTATAATATGCTCCAAAATGTGTTACAGGCAAGGTAGATTTCTGTGGCATCCTTAAGCAAATGTGAAATGTAAAAAATGTGTTGAAGCAAACTTTGACGTCTTAGGCAGTCATGCCACATTTACTTTTAGCAAGTTAGAGCAAATAAAAAAAACTGGTTGTCAGGAGGAGTTTGATTTAGATTAGCAAGTGATGAGAAATACTGCTGTACCAACCCTGCAATATAATGTAATTGTTTCTATTCAGATTTTTGTCAACCAGAACTTTGTGAGTGAACCACTCCCTGACACAGATGCGACTATCGCTTTGCCCCCTGCCCTCCACGACCTTTTTCTTCCTGGAAAGGATAATAAAACTCGTATCCAGTTTCAGTTCTATGGCACAGAAAAACTTTTTCAGGTACTTCCATTTAAAAAAAAAAAAAGATTGGTAGCATGTTTTGCTGTTGTTTCTGTTGTTTTATCATCTACGTTAAGACAGAGAATTTCACGTTTACTGGAAAACGCACATAATATAATCTTGAACCCATTCGGAAATAATATTTACCACTAGTGTATAAGAATGTGTTTTCCAAAATGTCAAACTTTTACGTAAGGAAAAACAAAGATAGTAGAATATGAATATTTTGCCAATATTAATGAATACTTCTATTTATTACTCCTTTTGTTACCATGAGTTTCTAATTGACCATTTAATTAAAACTGTCATACTTCATACATTCAATTATAGTCCTGCAAACCTTTTTTCTATTTTCAATAGGATCCAGACCTCAACAATGGAGCACAGAGTAGCTTGGCATTGAATTCATACATAGTGTCTGCCAGCGTCAATGGCAGCCATGTACACAACTTAAAGGATAAGGTGGTTGTGACCTTGAACCATCAAAAACCCAAACAGGTGAGGAATTTTACCTTCATTGATCAATTAGATGAGTATTTGACTCTACAACTAAATCACTTCCCTGTTTATTTTTGTTTTGTTTTGTCACAGCAAGAGTTTGAGGTACGGTGTGTGTTTTGGGATTTCCAGAAAAATGGTAAGTTTGTCATTATTATTATTTTTTATGTTTACAGATGAGATGATTTATAGAAATTAGACTTAATAGTGCTAACAAAGGTCCCTTAACATGCACATCTGTGTGATTATTGATAAGCGATGTGTGTGTTTTGGTGGTGGTGGTGTGTGTGTGTGTGTGTGTGTGTGTGTGTGTGTGTGTGTGTGTGTGTGTGTGTGTGTGTATGAGTCAGCCGGGCAGGGAGGTTGGAACAGCGGAGGTTGTGAGACTCAGAGTATCTCTTCTAATCAGACCAGCTGCCTGTGTGATCACCTCACTCATTTTGCTGTGCTGCTGGTGAGTCATTGGTTTGCCTTATATAAATAAAACCGGGGGAACAGAAAACTCCCACAAACCCCAGCCTGCTGTGTGCAATCTGGCCAGTTGCTAACTGCCTACATCTATTTCTGCCAATGACACAAGATGCTGACGTAAAGGCCACAATGTGGATTTTTTTTTCTTGAATTCAGTTTTGATTATGATGTGTTTTAACAGCTGGCACTGACCCTTGCCAGAATGTCCTTTCATGTGTCACCACTAGAGGGCAATTCCCTCAGTGACATCTTCCATTGCTTTCTGAAGCGTATAGTTTTGAAGCTCAGTGATTGTAGCCATGCCTCAAACAAACTTTTGGTCAACCTTCTCCTGGGCCTTTAGCCTCATGGCAAACAGCTAGAGTGATCGGATCAGCCATGCCCCTATAATTAACTCTTTATATCATCAAAAAGGACTACAAAAAAATAAAATCACCCTCTGTACAGTGTATGCCAGTAGCTATTTAGACCAAATTTCTCACTGAACAACATGTTTATTCGTGCTGTTAAAATAAGCATTTTAATATGGGTGTGTTTGGGACTTACATGGCTTTTGCAGCCAGCCTCAAGTGGACACTCGAGGAACTGAAGTGTTTGGCCTAATTTTTCAACAGCCACTTGATCTTTTTCTTCTAATGAATAAAATGTTTGTTCTGCTTTTTATCCAGGATGTATCCAGGAGGGATCTCAGCGATACTGACAGTCAGATCCTGACAGTGATTTCATATCTTGGTTGTGGTATATCATCCATCTTTTTGGGCATCACTCTTCTCACCTACCTTGCTTTTGAGTGAGTCCCTTTGAGCAACACTAACTTAGTTATCGCAGTCTGGCAGACAGAGACTGCATCAAGAGAGAACATTAACTTAAATAAGTTATTGGAATAGTAATAGAATCACTCCCCCTCTCTTTCTCCCCGCATTTCCTGTTTATCTTCTTCCGGTGTCCTATCAAATTCATGTAAAAAGGTCACAGAAAAATCCCCCAAAATATGAATGAAATAAAAAACACACACATTTTGGGAACATCTTATTAAGTATTAAACCTAATCCATAAAGGCTAAATCTTGAAGTCTTATAAGGAGCAACTTTGTCACCCAAGAATTTATATCTTAATAATATTCAAGGATTATTTAATTATCAAATAAAGTACATTTATTGTAGAAAATAGTGGCAAAGAAAACCAGTTTTGTCTATCTCTGCTTGTGTTTATCTCATTTCAGAAAGCTGCGTCGAGACAACCCATCTAAGATACTCATCAACCTGTCAGCTGCCCTGCTGGGGTTGAGCATGCTCTTCCTTCTCAACTCCTGGCTGTCATCTTTCTCCAACTACGGCCTGTGCATTGCGACTGGTGCGTCGCTGCACTACTTCCTGCTGGCTTCTTTCACCTGGATGGGCTTGGAGGCTGTGCACATGTACCTCGCACTTGTCAAGGTCTTCAACATCTACATTCCTTCCTACATCCTCAAGTTCTGTGCCGCAGGATGGGGTAAGACAAGACCCCTCAAAGCTCCTCACTGCAGTGGAACACGTCGAGGATCATATCCATATGAGTAATGAATCAGCTATGATTGAACCACATAAACCAGATTCTTTTTTCTCAAAGGTATTCCTCTGGTAATAGTCAGCATAGTGTTGGCCATAGATAAAGATGCGTACGGAAATGCTACACCTGAAGAGGCTAAAGTGGCGCTTCAGTTCACTGACCAATTGTAAGTAAAAGAACAGTGTGAGTCATCTCCTTCTCTGGCGCATGTTGTCTAAAGACATAGTGCGATCAGTCATATAAGTGCATGATAACATACATTAATTTATTGATCACATAGATAAAACTGCACCAAAAAAGGTCAACACTAAGCAGCATATTAGACTATAAATAAAGGCGGTCATTGACATGAATGACAAATCCCAGTGTAAATGTCATAATGAGGAACTTTCTCCCTCCTTCCAGCTGCTGGCTGCAGAATGACGTCTTCTTCTACGTGACGGTGGTGGCTTTTTTTCTTCTGATCCTGTTGTGCAACATCTTCGTATTTATCAAGGTTCTGGTTCAGATCAGACAGATGAGGTTCAATAAGTCATCAGCAAACAGCCGCACGTCTCTGCAGGACCTGAGGGCGGTGGCCAGTCTTACTGTCCTGTTGGGCCTGACCTGGTTAATGGGCTTCTTTTCATTTGGCCCAGGAAGAGTGGCCATGCTGTACCTGTTCTGCATCTTCAACACTTCACAGGGTAACAAAAGGGGCTCTAGCTCTAGGGTGAATAGCGAAAAAATAAAACAAGAGTGGGCCATTTTCAACCAATCTGAATTGTGTTAGTGTTAAGCAGCATTGAGGTATTTTGCACATTTCAAACAAGGGATTGTTTGGACATTTAGCATCATTCATTTCCTAGTTTATCTTGTGGTTTGGCTGTTTTCTTTTGGAAGTTATAATAAGACTTAATGGCAGAGAAAGAATGAATATGACGCAGAAACAAAGAAACACCACTATGTCTTTACAATGTTATAATAAAAGAGGAGGGAGTTTATTATCTCTTCTCTTTGTTCCAGGTTTCTTCATTTTTTTGTTTCACTGTCTGATGAAGGAGAATGTGAGGACGCAGTGGAGAATTCACTTGTGTTGTGGACGTTTCAGACCCAATAATTACTCAGGTACGCATTGAAAAGCCCAACAATGCTTAAATGTGAAGGGAATGTTAAAGTATAATAGCAAGAATTTGAGCAATTTCGATTTATCTTTCTTGTCTCCTGTGTTCAGACTGGAGCCGCTCTGCCACAGGTGGCACTGGTGGTCGCCCCAAAAAGAACATTCTGGTTAACACTGTCTCAGTGGCTTCTGATAACACCACCACCAGGAAGGTGACAGATTCCTCGACAGGATCAGCACCAAACCACCACCAGAGGGCGTGAGTGGGCCTCCGTGTATGTCTTGTTTTAAAACGCTGCATTGTTCAAAGAAGAAATAAAATCACTTGTTTTTTTCTAATACAGTTCATGCGAGGTTTGCTACCAACTGTCCCTGCAGCAGCTCTTATATGCTGTGGCACTGTGCTTGTAATTTAAGTGTATCTGCAATTTCAATGATAATAAAAGCATTATTGTTGAAACTTTTTGTGTGTTTTAATTGTCCACATCGCTACATTCCCAAACCACACAATGTCTGAAAACTGATTTTTCTTTTTTTTTTGTGAGTAAAGATTGAAATGCATTCAGACAACATATATCTCTTGTCTGTAAAATTAAGAGTTTTAGCACAATAATATTTTTCTTGACTATTGTTGCAACTGAAATAGCAACAATAGTTATCTTCAATTAAAGGCTAACAATAAATCTTCACAAATAGCAAAAACTGCAGCTCTTGTGACATTACTAATTAATTCCTTACTAAATAAGAGTATGTGATTTTTGTTGATAAAATTTTTCTTAGGACATTTTTTGCATAGAATTAAGTTTATCAGTAAAAACAAAACATCAGAAATGTCACCGCTCCTCTGAGCAGCACTATTTGTTCTGTTAACACTGAGTGTTAAAAAAATAAATAGAAGAACCTCAAATCAATCATTGAATACATGATGGCCCTTCTTTTTATTTAAAGGTTTATTTTTGGGCTTTATTTATACATCGGACAGTGGAGAGAGAGAGAGAGAGAGAGAGAGAGAGAGAGAGTGGGGGAATGACATGCAGGAAAAGAGCCACAGGTTGGATTTGAACCTGGAACGTCCGCTTAGAAGACGACAGCCTCCTTATATGGGCGTGCACTAACCACTAGGCTACTGGTACCGCATGAATCCCTCCTTAAGATATGGTGATCCATTCAAAATGAATAAAGACTCTCTTTTATTTGCACTATTTACCCTGTTAAAGAGGTTTAACTTCATGTTGTCTCCATTATGTTAAAACTTTAATAATAACATACAGAATCATCTCAGCCAGTAAATGACATCAGAAGTGCAATCAACTTGTGTTGAAGTTTAGGACAGCGGTGGTAGGAATGTTTTTCAGATGTCTTTCAGGTTTTCGTGAAACTGGATAGATGACATTCTAGTCATAGCTGTCTGCATTCACACACCCTCCCAGTCTAACGCACCAAGAACCTTCTGAGGCTCAGTATGCAAAATGCTGTTTTTTCTGTAGTGGAAGAGAAGAAACAAGGACACCTCCTGTAGCGTCCTTAAATCTGGTTATTGAGTCTGATCTTTAAACTCGAGCTAAGAGGTACTTTTTTTTTTTACGACAACACTGGCTGCGGCCAATGTGGATGAACACTTCAGCTTTATTCGAGCAGTCAATGAAAGGACACACTCACTGTTCATCTTTGGTCAATCGTCAAGTCAGGTAAGAGAAGAAAGTTATTTACAATATCCAACAAAGTGGTTTAAATGATCAATTCAGCTAAGTATGTAAGTTTATTTTGGTTCGCACTATGGGATGGATGTGCTCTAATTATTTGCACTTCAGTCAGAATGGTTCAAAGGTTTTCCCAAAATAGGACACATTCAGTATGCCTTTCATCCCTTTTTTAAACTTTTTTTTTGTATGCCGTGAAAAATAACACAAAAAGCTATTCTTATTTTCTTTATTTTGTCCTTTTGGAACATCCAACCACAATTACCTTTTTTTTTTTGGTAAAAGAGTTCCAGTTACGAAGATTTCCCAGTATTGATCTTGGTTGCTGGATTTATTATTTTTTCCATCATGTTTTCTGAGTTTGTATGATTAAAGACACAATTTCTGAGTCATAAAATGTATTGAATTTACGTTTACTTTATCCACTTGCTGTTTGCGTTCCTGCTTGTGTGCTGTTATCAGTTTCAAAGAGATGCCAGTGATTTATGACATGAGTCCTCCAGGGCAAGTCCAGATTAAACTGCTTCAGATGTGCAGATAAAGAGAGACGCTACACCTCTGGAGAAGAGTTTGATTTCACTTGTAATCATTTGCGATTCATCCTTTTTTTGATTAATATATTGCCAAAAACTTTTTGGGCAATTTTGACAAAACTGAAAAGGAAAAACTTTTATTTAACAGACAGACATCCCGAGCAGAACTATATTCACTGGTTAACATTGATCTTTATATTGTACATTTTATAACTGTTGCATTAAACCTGTGGAATAATGCATGGTCAATTACAAAAATACTGGTATGGTTTGGGCAGCTTCTTATGATCCTGTATTTGTCTCTGTTTTCAGTGACAGCCGGCCCAATGGAGGACAGAACAGACACTCAAATGGCTGTGAAGGTGGAGAAGCATTCTCAGTATGTCATCCTGACTTACTTCCAGGGAGACATCAACAGCATGGTAGATGCTCACTTCACTCGTGCACTCAGCAAAGTCTACAAGTCCAAGGCACAGGCAGCAAAAACAAAGAAAATACGTAAAACTATTAAACTGGGTAAGCAAAAAAAAAAAGTCATCACTGTATTATCCTAACTGATTATAAACAGCGCAATCAATCCAAATTATCCTGAATACATGTCCTCTTTTCTTATACCTGGCAGAAGATAGCATCCCCTGTCAGGGGAGTGCTGACCCTTACTCAGAGTCACAGGTCCCTCCTGTAGCAGGACATCTCCTGACCTTCAGTCCTGCAGACAACGTTCCTGACTCATGGCACTCGTTCACTGGCAGGGCAGGAGAGGGTCCAGGGTTGCCATACTCCATGTCACAAGATGGTTTGAGTGTAACCGGACAGCAATACGCCACATCCTTGCTCAACCTACTGCATAATGACCGGGGTGAAATGGGACCCAGCACGGCCTCCAACTCAAAGCCAGAGGGGCTCCCAAGCTGGACGGTGCCACAAGGATTCAGAGAGTCTGTAGACCCTGCTTTGGGCTATGAAACTGGTAAGCCTTTAAAATAACATATTTGAAAAAAGGAATTGTAACCATTTAAAAAATGGCTTTGATAGAAAACAGATAACATTTATCCATTCCTCTATCTTAATATGGTACATCAGACATATAAGCAACCTCATAGTTAATTATCAATATATCAATACAATAAAAATGGGACATTTAGGTGTTTGTAAAGCTGCAATCTGACTTAATTCTCTGTTATTTAATGTCTGAGCAATTCATTTTTTTGTTTCAATTCTTGAAGAAGCTGAAACTGATGATTAAGAGCAAAAACTCATTGTCATCTGGTTTAATACAATTGGATTTTGAAACCAGTGGAGTCTCCCCCTACTGGCTATTAGAGAAAAAAGCAGGCACGCAGTAGGCACACAAAATGCACGCACGAGGCACTTGGCTTGACTATTGGCTTCACTTATGAAACCAGAGCAAAATTACTTCCTTGGTCTTTTGTGGCCCTGAAGGAGTTTTTCAAAGTTGACAAAACTGCTTTTTGTGATTGTATGATTTTATCACTGCACTTTAGTGTTGGAATCTTTAAAGGTACAGTATGGAGTATTGGTAGTGAAATTTGAAAGTTGGAGAAGTGAAACAATTCTATGCTATATTTTGTGAAATGAATACACACAAAAAAAACGGGTCCCTGAGCACTGTTTAAAGCATAAAAGCTACAAGGAGAGGTAAGGTTTAACTGTTGCAAGCCCACCACCATAACTTCTTGGGTAGCATTTTATCTACAAACTGTGTTACAGGGACCACACAGTTTGTTTCTCCAACTTCAAAATTTCTCTTCCAAAACTCCATGGTGCACTTTTAAGTTGACAAGAAAAAGCCGGCATAACACAGTGGAGATTTGCATTTATAACTAGACATGAAATGTCTTTAAAAAAGAAAGAACTGAGTTGCATTGTGGGTGGGGAAAATAAAATGGAAAATCCTGCGTATGTGTTGTTGTTTTTATCATCTATATCTTGCAACTGCCCCAACTGAAAGAAACTTAATACACTTTTTAACCATGAATGGAAAAAGCTTTTAAACTTTAATGAACATAACGCCTCTATTACTAGAATTTAGGTGTTTCCCTTTAGGAAAAGTGGACACATCAGGTGCTTTTCACTTCGTTTTCAGAGAAGAGCATTAGTAGTTACAATAGCTATCTTTTAGTTGAAAATGATGCATTCCTACAGCAGAAACAGTGATGCACCACAAAGCATGTAGGGCTCCTAAAAAGTGTTCATTTCTGAATAAATTCACACTTTGTTCAGAGTTAATGAGGAATGATTAATTAAGAATGAGGTCAGTATGCTGGTTCACAGAAATGAAGAGAGTAGTCATCAGAAAACTGGCAACCTATAATTATGTTATTCTATTAATAGCACTTGTTAGGTATGTGGTAGTTCTGTACTTCCTTACAGGTGTTATCTCAGGAATCTGTTTCTTACTCTAAGAAATGCTAATGTGTTAAAAAATAATTCACTCAGTCGGCTTGTTTACAAAGCTGACCTTGTGAATCCATGAGAGCTGCTTATCATTATTGCTGTCTTTGTCGCCTCTCTGTCAGGACGCCATCTGGAAAAGAAAGACCTGTACTGGTATTGAAGCATGAGCGGCTGGAGCAGAAGAAACAGAGAACAATCTCAGCTACACCTGTGGCTCGAGAAAGCCACCCGGCTTTCTGTTCACCTAGTAGCAATCAAATATATCCTAGTCAAACAAGACTCTTGAGCATTATCAGAGTACACAGTGACGAAACAGCCGTGCTTCCATTCTCTCTCCCGCTCTTTCCATTTCTCAGTCAGATGACCTCAGTACCTCAGTATGTAATAACTGGAACAGCCTTTTTCTGAAAGGGAACAGTCTCTGACAAACCTGTTCTTCAACTCTGTCAGTACTCCTGTAGAGCTAAGAGCTCAGTATATGTCGTTGCTTCCTTTGCAGGTTATTTGAATGAAGGTCATTTTCTTTTGTGCTTTTAATCAGGCACTTCTCTTTGTGGGCCTACACAAGTAAATAGACCAGTATTAAGTTAAAGTGTTTGAATATTGATGTTAATAACTGCGTACAGCTCATAAAGATGTGTTTTAGTAGTGGTAGAATATTTTATCTATCAAAACAAACAAGCAAAAAAATGAAGGATAATGATGTTATTTTATGACTTTCTTTGAACGTGAGGGAATCTTCAAATATTGTTGTGTGCTGTCCTTAATGCAATGATGTAGAAATAAACATATATGGCAGAAAAAGGAAAATTGAACATTTATCCACACTCCACAGAGACGTTGGAAATGAACCAAGTTGGAAAATGAATTCACTGAGAAAGTGCTCACCTCACTGTAATGTAGATGGAATGGAAAATGTCTGTCACAAAATTTAGCTGATATTCTGGGACAGGTTTGTAATCAAATCAACATTTTAATTTCACCTCTTAAATATGGGGTTAGTTCTGTATCTTTTGAGCAAACTGGACACCGGCCTCAAGGAGATCTTTTTGAGGACTACTATATTTTTTTAAATTATAGTGTATATGCAATTGTTAATGACATTTTCAATGGATTTTCTGGGACAGACTGGAACCCAACCAAGCTGTAACATTCAACCTTTTACACGAGGTGAGTTCTAAATCCAATGGGCTAACTTGATGGCCTTGAGGGGTTGCTATAAGTTTAGAAATTATTTTAGTTTTTAATTTTTGAAATGTAAATGGTGGAACAAGCTTAATGTAGATTGAGTTCCAACCCAGCCGTCAGTAATAATTACCACATCACCAAATCGTGTTGCCTTGATTATTTACATGTTATGGTATATATATATTTTTTATTACATTCAAAAGTGTGGTGCAGACTCCAGTGTGAAGGAGCCAGATCATCCCAAGCACCACTGTACCAGCAAGCCCCCATCAGAGCTGAAGTAAAAAACAAAACACAACAGGGTTCAGTCATATATAAGCCAATTAATGAGCTGGGCTACTTGTGCCTGCAATCTGAATGCTGCCTTACATCTATTTGTATGTAAAATAAGATGATTCATTTACAACACGTTTAATCAACAGTCTTGCATGTTTAGCGTTGGCTCACCAACTGGTCCTGTCGTTGTCAGAGATACATGATGACAGTATTCACATTTCACTGCCGACAACATTCATGGGAACAGATGGAGGAGTTGCCATCTCCACTTGAAGAGGGAGGATTATTGATGTTAATTTGCTAATATTAGTTTCTTACCATCTGGAACCGCATGAACAGTGGTTACCAAACTGGGCACTGGTCCAGTGGATTAATGGACTCCCAAGTCATGTTCAGGCTTATGTGAAATAAGATGCCTTTTAAGTGACGGTCCAAGGCATTTAAAAAAAACTGAGTTTCAAAAAGGGATCATGCAGGAGCAGAGAGTACCTCTGTGCTGTAATTAGACATGAAAACGCAAAAGACATCTTTGCTTTCAAGGCATAGGTCTGCAAAGGAAACTCTGGGACCCATGAAAAGCCCAATGTGGGCTCCACCACTACAGCCCAAGAAAACCTCGCACAATATAACCACACCTCCATCATACTTATTTAAGCAGCTTAAAAGAACAATAATTCTGTGTTACACCCTGAACATTTGTAATCAATAACCAGAAGGGAGAAAGCCTGATATTTTCTCAGTAGGCTACATCAGCCTTGACTTAACTTGTTAGTAAAGGTTTACATGCTAAGATGCTAATTGAGATGCTAAATACAGTGAATGTTATACATGTCAGTAATTTAGCATTTTCATTGTAGTAGTTAGTGCAAACGGTCACTGTCTTGAACATCTTAACACAGTGGCTAGTATGAGTGGAGATTTGTTGTACTTGTTTTTTTAAAAATCAAAGACTTAACGTCCACCCCTTAGTCACCATTAATTAACAAACAAAACAACATAACAGACAAAGAAGGACCCATATCGAGATTTTCGATGTTTGGTTCAACATTTTACTTTTGCTCTTTCCCTGCCCTCTTTCATTGATGATATTACCTTGTTTTGCTTTTTCCTGCTTTGCGATCAAATGCTGTTTTTCAATTCTAAAATGATACAATGTGCAGTTGCTCAAAAAAAAAAAAAGTCTTGACCGTAGGCTGAATTTCTCAAAAAAATGATTCACTTGATATTTTCTTGCCTTTTAATGCCTCTTCCATTCGAACCATATTATATAATATGACGGTGGAACAATAGGTGACAAAAATATGGTAATGCAAGCTAACCCTGAGTTTCAATTATGTCAGTATTCATATGGAAATTTATCATTTGACAGCACTGGAAACTTACTGAACATGGTATTTAACATGATGTGTTCATTGAGAGACTATAATTAACTGTCCTTCAAAGCGGGCTTGTTGCTTCTCTGAATCCATCGCACCATTATCATTCCAAGGCATTTCAGAGCCGGTTCATGCTATATATGCCAGAAGAAGTAATCCAGCGTCCAATTTGTATTTGTATGAATTTTCTTAATTCCAACAGTTCGTAAAATATGATTGTATTCCTCCACACAAGATTTTGCCATTGGTTTGCTAACTATGAACACCTTGTTGAAAATATTTCATGTGGATAGTACAACCATTGTAAAGGAGCTTAAAATAACAATTAACTTTTCGGATATATGCATGAGATGTCAGAGGATTTCGACTTCAAAATAGTGTTTAACAAAACCCAGAATAGAGATGCATAAACATATCTTCATAATTCTGAATATTCTTTTTATCCTTTGTTGTTTCAAGAACACAGCACGTGTTATTGCAACATTGACTTATAAAACATAAAGTTTTAGATAAAAGGAGCCAATAGTAAATGCGCAGAAACAGTAAAAATGAAAATAAAAATAAAAATGCACGGGGTACATCAGAGAAAGCGCCATTAAGACTTCTTACTCAGGAATAAAATATTAAAGCATGCTACCTTTTTCAGCACACGTTTTATTAAATTTTTTCATATAAGTTTCTCAACAAGTAAGTGATGTAAAAAGAATGATAGAAACAGAAGCAACAGACACTGCAGCAGCTATGGATTGGAAAGTCTTTCTGTTATTTTTTCTCAGAAAAAGTAGGAAAAACAATAACAGTGTGGTAAAGAAAATAATAAACTGTAGTCCTGCCAGGAGGCAGGCATGAATTCAACATCCACGCAGACTTGATACCATAATCCCCCTTTTCCCCTTGTGTCAAGCATAATCAGACTGATCTGAGGCCAAAATTGGAAAGGGAGGGGGTTGGTTCTGCAGTAACGATTACCTATCGAGCTTCCAACAAGCCAATTATACTGCTTGTAGAGCATGAAGAGGGGGCATTAGAAGTCCATGGATGCTGTCTGTGGGTTTGAGCTGACTCCATTGACCAGAGCAATGGAGATTTACAGAGCTCTCCCCTAGGGTTGCGGCATCAAATAGCAATTTTATGCCAGTCCTCAAGTCATATATCCACTGCAATCATTAGATTTTACATCTTTTTGATCACAAAAGTCATCGTCAGATAAGAAAAGTAAAGATTCCTATAACCTGTTATCAGTGGTTGTGTCTCTTGCATTTGGCCTACTTTGTTCCGTGAAAAAAAAAAATCATTTTCTTGGTATTAACGAACCAAACAGAATTTATTTTGGTCTTTTCGTGCCTTATTTTAATGCAGAGAGAGGAAGGTGGAAAGAGTCGGAAACCAGGGAGAGAGAGTGGGGAATGACATGCGGAAGGGGGCCACGGGTGGAAGTGAACCCGGGCCTACTGCTCGAGACGAGAGTCTCAATACATGGGATGCACTAAATACACTTAACAAACGAGCAGTATACCTTACTCCATCATGACCATAGCACTAAGATTGCTATAGCACCAACATTTAGCAAAGTTACAGTGACAGGGGAAAACTGCCTTTGAGAGGCTGATACCTTGAGCAAAACCAGACTCATGTTGAACAGCCATCTGCAAAAACTTTGTTTTAACTGGGCTTGGAAAACAGGATCGAGAGAGATACAGAAAGAAAGGGGTGGCAGTAGCTCAGTCTGTACCAAGCATGGTCAGATCACCTCTTGAGCACTGCCGAGGTGCCCCTGAGCAAGGCACCAAACCCCCTCCCCACCACCAGCTCAGGTGCGCCCACTGTGGGCAGTGACATCTCTCCCTTAGTGCATGTCCATAGGATCCTGTTTGTGTGCATGTGTGTATATATACTTCAGCCTATGTGTGTGTTGCATGACTACAGAGTGTAAAAACTGAAATTTCCCCTTGTGGGGATCAATAAAGTAAATCTTCTTCTAAAGAGAAGGATAGAGACAAACAGCGCAACAATAGCATCGATGCATAGAATGAGCAGGCCTGCATTCTGGGAGTGTAATGTTCTAGATGGGTAATACAGCACTATTATCTTTTTAAGATAAGCTGGTGCTTGGCCATTACGAGCTTTGTAAGTGAGAAGAAAGATTTCAAATTATATTATAGATTCTGTAGGGAGCCAGAGCAGAGAAGCCAATACAGTAGTTCTAGTTAGAACACGAGCTGCTGCATTTTAAGCTCCAGGAGGGTCCTTGGTGGGGTAACCCTTGATTTTGAATTACTGGGGCTGTTGTTATGATCCATGTGCTCCTCATATATTTATCGGTTATGGCCTTGATCAGAGTTGTATACCTTGGCACCAAATCTGTGTTGTTGTTTTTTAATGGATCTCAAAGTGCAGCCTTGGAGAGGAAAGAGTTTAGTTTGGGGAAGTAAAATTGTATGCAGATGATGAGTTTCTGTTGGCTTCATTAAACTGTGACCTCCAGTAGGCACAGGGGTGGTTTTCAGTCGAGTGTGACAGATGGGATGAGAGTAAGCACCTCCTTGCCTTAGAGCATGGCTCTCTGCTGGAAGTGAGTTCTGCCTCAAGAGATGAAGTTCATGTGTGGCGGTGAAATGGCTGATGGGATTAACGGATTGGTTGATGCAGTGTCAGGAGCTATGCAGTTGTTGTACCAAGGCATTGTGGAGAGGAGTGAGCAGATCTGCCTTTAGATTTACTAGTTGATCCATGTTCCAACATTCACCTATGAACATGAGCTTTGCTGACGGAGATGAGATCACAGATACAAAGGGGGGAAACTTAAAGGAGCCTGGTGGTTAAGGCATGTGATTGGAATCTCTTTATCATGCCTGCTTGGTTGGTGGTTTACTTTCCCATCTGACATATTAAGTTAAGTACTCCATTTCTTTGTTTGCTTTCCCCATCTGCAATAAAAAAAAAAAATCCTAAAATCCAAAGGAGGTAAATATTACTTTTCTAAAAGACCTCAATTAAACGCATTGAAAGCCAAGTCAAGTCAACCAGCAAGCAAACAATCGATTTGGAAGAATTGTTGTGTTTACCAACACAATTGTGAGCAACTGACTTATAATAAAAGGGAAGATTCTAAGAAATAGAATATATGTAAGAGCTGCAGAAAAAAAAAAGGGGTGGAGATAATACCTTACATTATGGGGTACACGTAGTGCACTGGGAACACTGACTGCTCTCCCCACACTCTAATAATTGTGTTATATTGGCCCTCACAGCAGTGTGTGTCCAGCTCCTCTTGCGCCCTCTGCTCTCTCCTCTCTCTCTCTCTCTCTTTCTCTCTCTCTCTCTGCTATGGTCCTCCACACGCGCGGGTCCAACATCAGCACCACAGACAGCTCTCTCTCCGGCTCCAGCATCACCATCGACTCCACCCTGCGGGACAACGCCGCACCCCAAGCCTTCCCCGGCGGGCTGAGCCGGAGCGGTCACACGGTGGTGGCAGTATGTCTCGGCTTCATTTTAGTGGCGGGAATTCTCGGCAACTTCCTCGCTCTTCTTGTCTTCGCGAAGTTTCGTTCCCTCTGGACGCCCATCAATCTCATCCTGTTGAACATCAGTTTGAGCGACATCCTTGTGTGCGTTTTCGGGACACCGTTTAGTTTCGCTGCGAGTCTGCAGGGTAGATGGCTCATTGGAGAGTGCGGCTGCAAGTGGTATGGCTTTGCAAATTCGCTCTTTGGTGAGTTGTGTAGCCCATGTAGGCTTTTTTTTTTTCAAAAACATTTGTGCCAAGATTAGGAATTTGTTTGATAAATTCAAAAGGATACTAGGTTACTTAACACTGAGAAGGTTTTTGTTTTGCAGGCTTTGGACCAATGCATTACTGTTGGCGGGGAGTCACTCTTTTCTGATTCTTGTGAAATCAGAAAATAATGTGAAAAGTGAAATAAAGTGAAAAATCCGGGATTCATCCCTTTTTACAACTCATCTTCTTAAATGTCTGTCCTAAATTTCATAGTGGTCCTCCTCCAACATATTGAGACATTTCATCTGGAAACCACAAAATGTGTATCCTTATAGACCTACTGGTGCTAAAAGTGTCATTTAGGTCCACTGTGTGAACTGTAGGCTAATCACTTTGCAAAATGTCATGACAATCCATCTAGCTGGGATCAATAGCATTAGAAAGCCATCCCTTGTATGTCTTAATGAAAACAAACGTTCAACTTGATTTCTTCATTTCTTTGGAGGTATCTGGGCTTGAAGTTTAAATTCTTTATAGAAGAGGAAAGCCCTACACGGGGATTAGAGTGAATGGCAAGTCATTTCTATACCTACTATTCAGTGAGGTTCAATCACGATTTAGTGCCATATTGGATTTGAAGAAAGGAGGAACATACTCTTACTCAAACATGCTCATATACAGGATCATGCTGTTTTTTTCTGACATATATAAAGGAATACTTTTTTGAATTAAAGTAAGAAAGTAAAAAGAATAATCAGATTGGGCTGCTGTCATTATAAATAGTTTTACAAATATTACATAATATATCATACAAAAGGTTAAAAAAACAACATATATACATTTAAAAAAATCTAAATATATATTTTTATTTCACTCAATCGGTTTAAATTGTATTTAAATATAAGAATTGTTTGAGAAACTCAAAGCTGCTTTCTTTCCAGCTATCATTTCACTGAATAGTTTCCAGACTTTGAATAGATTTGATTTAGTCTCAGTAGAGCAGGTGGGCTGACAAACCCGTGTTGAAAGAATCACTGTTTTACTTGCGTTCTGAACTTGTGATGATATACTTTTCTGTCTTCTTCTCTCTTGCTCTCCAAGGGATTGTGTCCCTGGTGTCCCTGTCTATCCTCTCCTATGAACGCTACACCACCGTGCTGCGTTCCTCAAAGGTGGACATCTCAGACTTCAGGAAAGCCTGGCTCTGTATCGGGGGCTCCTGGCTCTACTCTCTCCTCTGGACCCTGCCACCCCTACTGGGCTGGAGCACCTACGGGCCTGAGGGACCTGGGACCACATGCTCCGTCCAGTGGCACCTCCGCTCCCCCACCAGCATCTCTTACGTGCTGTGTCTCTTCATCTTCTGTCTGCTGCTGCCCCTCCTGCTCATGATCTACTCTTATGGACGAATCCTGGTGGCAATCAGGAGGGTGAGTTTTTGCTAATCTGCAGCAATACCAGATACTTTTTTGTCATTAAAAAAAAAAAATGCAACTATTTTATATATATGAATACGGAAAGAAATACAAAAATAAAGATTTTATGATTAAAGTTAACTTCCTAATTTGCTGCTTATACTGAATATATATGTGTTTATTGAAGAGTATTCTAAACAAGTTTTTTTCCAGGGTGATTCCTTGGGGACACAAATTCAGGTGACACAACTAACACAAGATAAAAACGCATATTACATAAACTAAAACACACCATGCTATTTGTGTCTGAGATCAGAATTCATATTTAAGAACGTTTAGTCACTTTTAATTGAAAATGTAGCCTCAAGTGCTGAAAAATAAAGCCGATGCAGAAGTGTAAAAACCTGCAGGTCCTTAAGTGTCTACTAGAATCCATGTTAGAGGCCATATTAAAATGCACATCTTTACAGCAGAAATAATCATGCTTACATCCTTTTTAGTCTCTATAGCTCATTCCCTTATTGGCAAAAAACATGTATGATGGGGAAGTTTTTATACAAATCATCATTTTTAACTACATTAGAAGAAGAAGATATTATTAATCCCATGAGGAGAAATTACTTTTACAGTCTGTTATTGAGAAATGCTACACACACATAGGCTGAAACACACACACATAGGCTGAAACAGGATCCTATGGACATAGGACAACAGGCAACAATGGAGAGAGAGTGAGGGGCTGCACATGAAAGAGCACCTGAGCAGTTGGGGGTTTTGTGCCATGGCAGTACTGGATTTTTTAATCCCTAGTTACCAGACCAATGTCCAGACTGTGTCGGCACTGGGACTTGAACCCAGAACACCCTTTGTTTCTTAACCCAAGTCCCTACAGACTGAGCTACTGCTTTCATTAAGACTATGAGTCAATCATAATTAGGCAACGAGAAGAAGAAGAAGAAGAAGAAGAAGGGACTGATTTGACTGACAGTCAGGTACCCATTTGCAAACTGACAGGCAAGACAAATCTGATGGATGTGTTTCAGCAATTAAGGTATTCATTTGGTCTGCCTCAACTCCATCTCTTTGCCTGCAGACTTAAAGTAACATAAACCTAAATCTAAATACCTGTGACTTATTTTTGTGAACAATTAAGAAACATGTTTTCAATCATGTGTTCATGCTCTTACTACAACAACCTGAAAGACGCAGAGGTGCTTCATATTCTGTGTACCATTAGAGTCCATGTTTCCCCCTTTTTAAGTAACCAGTTATCTGTGTTTGTCTGTATCATAATTATCAGAATGTAGTAATTGAATATAAGATGTCTCAGAGGTTAAGTGATGGCTGTCAGACTCCAACTATCTCTTGGTCATGTGCCTACAAGGTCATTTCAAGTAGCATCAAGAAAAAAAAAAAATCCTTCAAGCTGCAACTCTGTGTTTAAAATCTTAACAACAATTTCTCCGGAAGTGGGTAGGAATAGAGCTCAACATTGATGGCCCACTTTTTCAACGGCTCTGATTCTGGAAGTAAATTTCCCCAATAAAATACTACAATTCAATTTCAGAAAATCTTTATATCAAGATATTGAAGCTGGAAACCAAGCCAACCAGCTCCTGGAATACTTGTGACTATAAAACATTTGATTCAGGGCAAGAAAATGATTGGAAAAGGCAGATGTACAAGACTGTGTACATTCATTTTTCTGGAGTCAAGTAAATGGACATGAGATTGCAGTCAGAAGACTAGAAAAGCACTTACACACTGATGGCAGAGGTTTCTATGTAAAGTCTCCATCAGCTGTAGCTAATCCCATTCGTACACATTCATACGCCACTGACGAGAAAAACTTGGTGTTTAGTATCTTGCCAAAGGACACATCGAACATGTAGTTACAGGAACTGGGGATGATCGAACCCCCGATCTTTCCAACTGGAAGACGACCAACTGAGCCACAGACACCCCATAACAAAGATAGTAGTACAATTTGTGTTAGCTATCTAACCTGATGGCGGAACTATCCGTTCGCATCCGGCGCTGGGGGGGCAGGAAACATTTCCATGGTAACAGTGGTATCCACCAATTACAAACACAGCTGTTACACTCACATTTTTCTTAAAACAGGGGTGAAATCATATGAACTTGTGTCTGCTAGTGGAGCATATACCTTTGCTTGACACTCTTGTGGTAAGTCTACCTTGGATGGCTTTGACGTTATCTCTAATAATCAAATCCACTATGGAGAAAATGAATGGGATTTTCACTTTCGGAGCTACACTGTTAAGCCCTATTTGGCTGACGTCTTCAGGGGAGTGTGTGAGGCTCTTGCTGCCCCCTTTAGGGCAACAACTCCTTCTTAGTTTCCAGTGACTCATCCTTGCCTTGGTGGCGCTTACGTAAACCTGCCGGGCAATAAAATAATTGACAATTAAGGACTTTGGATTGGTGTTGGGTCCATTTAATGCACTCTTTACTACTCTGATCCATGAATCAACTAGAAGATATTATTAGACATGGAAGCAACCTGTTACTATTGGATACCTGATATTGTAGAAGCACCTCTATTTTTTTTTTTTACACCATCCACCCCAGGGAGTCAAAGATAAGAAGGGCTTTCAGATTTGATTACCGTACCGGTGATTAAGGGCTCAGCGGTGTTCACCCATCGCCTTCCAGCCAAGAGCCCCGCCTTATGCTTTTCTTAGAAACCCAGCAATCAGTGTGTGAGCCTTTTGCCAGCCTCCCATAGGTGGCTTAAACCAACACGTCAGAGGGAAAGATGACATTTATAACAACAGCATCAGTCTGGCTCAAGCTTGGATTTGTTTTCTACCAACTTTGCCTTCACACCTTCTCTCTATTGATTGTCGAAACACTCAATTTTTATCAGAGCATTAGAGTCCAATTAGTAAAGAAAGGATGGTTCAATAGTGAAGAAAATAAGTCCTACGTTTGGTTTTGCTCCTGAAGCTGTGTTTCCTGTCTGTAATGTTCAAACTAAAAGTCTGCCACGCAGAAATCCCAGCTGGTGTAAGGGTGTCAGGATAGTTTTTACATTTAAGGCGATCGAGGAGAAAGGCTACAGAGGTCATGACTTGAAACAAGGTGAAGTGTAATCGAGTGTCTAAGCAATGTGAACTTATTCGATGAATTCATTTTGAAAAATGGATTTTCACTGCTGTGGAGGGCCACTTTCACTAGACAGAGGCAAGGCATCAAAGTGGTAATCACATGAGACGGGGACCACAGGGGTATTTCATCAACGCGGAAGAGTTGTCAATGATTTTGATGAGACGCTTCTGTATCCACTTGGCTTATGACAAAATGTCTACAAGCAGATTTTAGTCCAGCAGAGCTTTATATCCGAGTACACCAGGAGGAGCCACTGAGACTAATCGTGAAAAACCATGTGTTGTGAAATGTTATATCTAAAAGTCTGCACAGTATTGCAGCATTTTGTTGCAACCTTGATAGAAACCAAATAATACTTTGTAAGATTAACAGTTTTGATAAGTAAATGTGTGCTGGCAGTTATTTCTTGTTAAAAGCCAACAGTCTAAACTATATAACAATGATGCTGTTGTTAAAGCCAGTGTTACTCAGTGGTTTAGACAAACTAGGGTTATTAATACATTGTGGGGGAGTGGAATCCTTGCCGCAGCAACCAGGGTTTGATTCTAATCTAGACCCACTGAGATGTGCCATGTATACAATTGTGTTGAATGTGTGCCTATAAATGTGCCTATTTAATATGTTGACATATGTGGGTTCAACTTTTGTTTAGAAGAATTAAAAAGATTCTTAGTAAAGATCTGTTGTATAAAGCACATTCATTCCTCTCAGAGTCCCCCGGCCAAGTTTGACTAATGAGGGTAGAGGGAGGAGTGTATCAGCATGCGTTGCCGTGTGTCAAAGTGTCTAGTTTGTCTTTGACCACTGGATGGCACCATTAAGAGAAATGTTTCACCTCTCTTACACGTAAGAGGTGTAAGTTATCAGTCAAGCCACGGTTGCAACAAACACAGACAGAAGAAAACACAGAAATGCCTGTTCACAAGTACAATCATTGAAAACTTTGTCAAGTCAAGTCAAATTCATTATTAGACCACTTTTAAAACAGTTAAATATTTCCAAATATGAAAAAAAAAATCTATAAAAAGACAAAACTACGTAAATATATCAGACAAATATTGAGATATAATCAGTTAGTATGCAAACAATAAGTTTATAATTGGAAAGCTAAAGATAAGAGATGGGCTTAAGTTGTACTTTGAATGACTGAGTTGAGGGCACAGCTCTGATCTTGAGGGGGGCTGTTTTTTCCACACATGTAGGCCCACAACCGAAAACCACAGCCAAGGCCAAATCCTTTAGCTCTAACTAGCTCAGACCCTCAGAGAGTCTGCGCCTCGGCTTCGATGACAGTAGTTTAGTCAGGGTATAGGTCAAAATAAATTTCATGACAGATTTATAACCTCTGTAACTTTTCTCTCCTCCTTTATGCCTTCAGGTGGGTAAGATCAATCTTCTGTCGGCTCAGCGCAGAGAGCAGCATATTTTGGTGATGGTGTTGTCCATGGTGTCCTGCTTCATGCTGTGCTGGATGCCCTACGGTGTCATGGCACTGATGGCCACTTTCGGTAGATCTGGACTGGTGACTCCCATGGCGAGCATGGTGCCCTCTGTGCTGGCAAAGTTCAGCACTGTGGTCAACCCCGTCATCTACGTGTTCTTCAACAACCAGGTGATCTACTACATCTGTCTACATCTCATGTATTCACAGATTGAAGCATGTTGTGTATGTCCTGTTGGCTAAAGTCCATATAACATCAGCTGGATACTAAAAATAAAGAATTGGAAGAGAATAGCGGGCCAGTTTTCCTTCTACAGAGGAGACCCCGATGGCTCTCTGTGACATTGAGGGTGCAGCTCTCAATGTCTCAATTTTTTGTCTATCTCAGTGTCATTTAAGTACCTCTTCCTTGTTTTATATGCAACACACTTGGTGGTTGATTGCTACTATTTGTAGCCATGAAAGCTCTCCTTCCTGCACAGCTGTATTTATACAAGCTTCTGATTGGGCTTCTGCGTTTCTTTGTGTAGTAATAGGAGCTATTTGATTGTTTTCAGATGCTGTTGAAGTTGTTCTCGAGGCCATTAATCTCAGTTTTACTATGATGCTTTGGCGTTTTATCCCCTGAAATGCATGCAAACTGAAAAAAATCAACAGTCTTGTTCTGCTTCTACACAGTTCCACAGGTGCTTTGTGGCCTTAGTGAAGTGCAGCGGGGAACCAGAGTCCGTTCAAACAGAGGAGCTCCAAACTGCGAGGACAACGTTCACAAGCTTCCTCCCCATTCACAGACAAACTTCCCTCAGCTCCTCACAACCTCAGATCCCCAGAAACACCTCCCTCTGCAGCCGGCACAATGGCCGCCAGACGCTGGTTGTCCACTACACTCCATAACAGTTCTTCATCTTTTACAGCTGACCAAACATGGAATTTACAACAAGTGTTTAATCAGAACTCTCCTCATTCAGTGTTCATTTCTCCTAACTCACAACACTCATTATTGATTGATGATAAAGTGAAAATATATGTCCATTTGTGTACTCTGTACCATTTGAATGTAACTTAGAAACATATAGTCCTGCCATGTGGCCACGTGTCAACCTTCAATATGTATATGTGCCGATGTAAAAAAGCTCTCGGCTCTCTGAGAGACTCTGAGAATCTACATCCAGATGCACATCACAACTTTCAAGTCAATGAATCTGTCGTGGTTTACATAAAAATAAAATACAACTGCACGTATCAGTTGGAATTAAAAACCAAATCATAAATGTGTTTACATATATTTCATGACCTTCAAATCATAAATGTCATATCGTGCTATATGATAATTATGGTGGAGAAAAAGTAGTCATTTATCATAAAAGATAGTGATGCAACAACAACAATACTATCTTTATATTATATATCATACAATGATCACACATTGTGATAGTGGAAAAAATTAAATAAAAAAAATACAGAATTACCGTATTGGTCCAAATATAAGACGACCCTGATTATAAGACGACCCCCGTTTTTCAACACTCATATTTAGAAAAAAAAGATTTGCAGACCAGATCTTGTTTTTATAAAGAACACAGCTCGAACTTCATTTTATTTGAAAATAACAATATTAAAAACACATTGAATTAAACACCTGTTGTATTAATAATTATAATAATAATTAACATACTGTATTTATCGGTATAGGTATACGGCACTTTTCAAAACAAAGTGTTTCACAAGGGCGAACTATGTACAGTATGATTCAACATTAAAATCGATTAACAATCAAACAATATTATCAACATGTTTTTAACATTTTGAAATAACAGAGGAAATACAGGCAACGTTTTTAACTAAACTACCGCTAAACTAAAACTCTCCAAACTTCTCCTCCGATGTCTCCTATTCCTCACACACACGTCCTCCCCCCCGCTGTGCTCTCTCTCACTGTCATCGCTCCCCTGCTCCTCCCAGAGCGCGTCATGCGTGTTGACATTTAAAGGGACAGGCGAACAATTAGAGCTGCGCTCTGAATACTAGACCCCGAATATAAGACGACCCGACTTTTTCGGACCTATTTCGATGGGGGAAAAGGCCGTGTTATATTCGGACCAATACGGTAATTTATCGGGATTATGGGATTATTTTATTTGAAATGGAATATATATTCCTGGTATTAATATACTATATTTATAAACTCTATAATTTCTCTGTCTGTGTAAATAAAAATAAACTATTGAGAATATGTTTAACCACAAAGGGAAGCTTGAAGTCATTGAAGGGTTTTTCTTTGTGCCATTTAAACTAACAGCTATCTTCATAGCATGTGCATTCCTATAATAATCTTCATCCAAAGTTACAAAGTACATTGTAAATGGCTTTTACAATGACCAAATGATATACTTTAATTGGCCAATGCTGAGCTCTCTCTCTCTCTCTCTACATTATTTGACAAGAACATAGTTGGCCAGTTCCTGCAGCCCCATGTGTCCTTTTGTGAAAATATTGTTCATACTTTTTCCCCCTTCAAATTTGACTAAGTGGATAGGATGGAAAAAATTAGATCTCATTTCAGCAGAATGTGGCATGACATCAAGCACTCTGTGGTAGACTGAATACCTCTGCATGTATCAATATAGAAACTTAACATACCAGCATGTATTAAACTTAGAATGTTACACTAGACTGCAAATGAGTCATAATTGCAGGCCAGTGTTTTTGAGGCTGTCTTGGATGGCAGATTGCTCTCCTGCAATCATATAAAGTAACCATTTAATATCCTTTCATTTATGGAAAGTTGTGGTCTATATGTGTTAATTCCTGCTTCTGTTATGACTCCTTAAATGACTTCTATTTGAAGAGTTGCTACAGCTGCTGTGGTCATTTGTGTTAACTAGCTCCCACTGTATCAAAATGTGTATAAATAATAATAATGTCTCGAATATTGACTACTTCAGCCTACTAAAAACACTATTATAGTGCATCATGTCATACTACATTGCCACCAAAACTCACTTGATGTGTTTTTTGTTGTTGTCCATAAATAGAACCACATTGACATATAAATACAGATTTCAAGCTGCATGACAGAAGAAAAAAATGCAAAGAGGACTTGTAGAAAACACACAGACACATGCACGCAAAGGTCACATCTCTCACAGATCATCAAGTCGAAAAGCTTCCAGGAAGTAGAGTAAAGAAAAACTCAGCTGCTTGAGAGAGCGGTAGTCAGAAGGTGCATGGGATGTCACAGGTCTTGGGCCTCTCAAGGTTTCACCACTTCTCTTCACCACCATGATCAACACCTACCAGACCAGCCTGGCTCCACCGCCCATACCTCCACGCCACAATGGGTCCCACTCGGTCTTCATCCCAGCTCCAGCTCCATCCAAGGGCCACAGCAAGGTTCTCCTCCAGTTTGTGCTCGGTGTGGTGCTGCTGCAGTTATTTCTGTCCATCGTAGGATTCATCTTCTTGTCCTCCAATGTCAAAAAGGTAAATTAAAAAAAAAAAAGAGTTCACTTCATAAGAGATTTCTAATATTGCAGTGAACATGACAAAATAATAAGCTGCATATATAAACTCTACAGTTACATTGTACATTTTGAAATCCTAGATTTAAATTAGCCATGAATTTGCTGATGATGAATGTGATGCCTTTAAGAAAGAAAAAATTGGCTTTAACCATTTATTCCTGTTTCACTGCCATATTAACTTATTTCAAAACATGAAGCAAATGCATAATCTCCTGCATTTACGCAAAATAGATTAGTTCAATCTGATGGTTTACCTTTTTTTCTTTTCTTTTTTTTTATCTCCGTGCAATAAGAGTTCAGTTGAGTTCAGTTCAGTTTATTGCCATTTGTAGCATGAAAACCACATTGGAAAACATTTGCAAGAGGAGACAGTGAGTTTAAAAAACAGGCAATATAAATATAAATAAAAAGGAAGAAGAAATAAAAACTGAAGGCCACATGAGAGACATGAGTTAGGCCAATGTAGCACAGGAAATGCTCTTTATACACACAGGTGAGATGTGATGTTTTGCAGCATAGGGTGTTGTTGAGATGATCATGATGTGAACACAGTTAGGATGATATTTCATTATAGACATTATTAATTCAAACAAAGGAGAATTACCGGACTCATTCCTGATGATTTGCTTTTTTTTTCCCCTCACAGGAACATTTTTCCTCAGCTGAAGTAAATCCAAAAAGTAAATCTTTTTCATTTTATTTCTTAAAAGTATTTTACATGAGAACTTTTATACAAACATTGAATCACAACACTGTCTCTGACCACATATTCCTTCTCGTCTCTAGTGTCCTTGCTTTTATCAGAACAGAAGAAAGGTCCTTCATCAGAAAGGACCGACAAAGCTTTAGCAAGCATGGTAGTTAGTCAGAAAGCACGCACACAGACATCTACAGGTAAGAAACAATTAACTTATTTTCATTAAAAAAAAAAAAAAAAAATGTGATGATGAGTACACAACCATCTATGTAACTATCTCTAGTATTTCTATTTATTTAGACTTATAACAATCTTAATATTGTCTCTTCAGCGGGTTATCTCCAGTGGGACGAAAAACACTCAGATTTGAGGAACATCAGCCTTTTCTCCCCAACCCAGTTGGCAATCCAGAAGTCTGGGAAGTACTATGTCTACTCCAAGGTGACCTTCTCCAAGGGTGACCCAGGGCGCCCGCTGACCAGCTGGATCATGCTGAGGAAGAGCATGACGGACAAAGATGAGGTTGCTATGAAGGCGTACTGCAATCTGGACAGCCACAGGGGGTCGGTCCCCAACCTGTGCACGGCCACGCAGGGGGGGGTAGTTACACTGGAGAGTGGTAACCAACTCAGTGTCTGGGTACAAGACTGTTCACTGGTGGACTACGAAGAGGGAGCCACAGCCTTTGGGATGTATGAGCTGTAAGACTCCTTTATGAGCACATGGACCTCAAATGGATGGAAGCTATATTCTTTAATACGCTGGATGGATAATCAAACTAAAAATGTCCTCGCTTTTTCTTGGGATGCAGAGCCAAAGACCACATTACTTAACAATAATTTATTTAATCTGATATCATTGTGTAACATGTTTTTTTATTTCAATCATATTTGTTGTATCTTTTGTATTTATTCGTTTTAAATGAAACTGGTTATTAACCTAAAACATCTGTTCGCCCCTCTTGTCTGGTTTCTTCTTCACATCAGGAGGTAATTGGAAGTTAAGGACATCGGCACATTAGTCTTAAACGCAGCTAAATTGGTTTTAAGTTTCCAGAGAACGAACATATAAACACAACATTTTGTCAATTGAAGTAAAAGGATGATGCTTTTCTCTAGCTGTTCACCAAAATAGTTGGCGTTGAAAGTTGCTGAAATTCTTCATGAGGGAACATTTTTAAGGTGAATTATGAAAAACTTTAAAAAAGTCAAACAATTCAGATTGATCACATTGATTAATAGATACATTCATACTATGATATACATGAAATCAGAAATTATTCTGCATAGTTTGAAGAGGTTTCAAACCATCCCATTGGCTGTATAACTAGGTCTTGTGCATTCAAGCTCAGCCCTCTGGTGTTTTTATTTCTAGTACACAGGAAACCACACAAGAATTGCACACTCTCAAGATGCTGGGTAAAAAAGAAACAGGACCACAAAAGGATGTTTGTAGTTTACCACTCCAAAAATGCATCTCCACTCAGAAGTTGATGCTGTTTCGAGTGAAACAAGACAGAATGCTTCTTGGTCAACATTAAATGATCAACTTCAAGCATGTCTTGAAATGTTTACATTTCTGAAAGGAAGCTGCAGAATTACAACTTTGATGATGCATTTTCCTCCTTTCAGCAGCCTTTAGTTCCCATTAATTTACATATCATTTGTGATCAATCTGTTGAAGGTTATCCCAACTGTGTGATCCATGTCCTTTATTGTCTAGTAGGGGATCATCTAAAATGCTGAAGGATTTTATATTTGCTCCAAAACACGCACTTCAAAAAAACAACAACGGCTTTACAGGCAGACTAAAAATGTAAACACCTCAAACTTAGAAACATGTTATGTCAAGTTTTAAGGTTTTGTAGTAAAAGGGTTAAAATACGAGATGCTGTTCTCCTGTTTAAATAGAACTTAAGCTACTTTTTGTTTGAGTTACTGTAACCTGTTTGTTACTGTAACCTATATGAGAAACTGTCTGGTGAGTAATACGAGGTGTAAAAAGTTTTTTTATCAAGAATGCAAAATGCAACCCAGAGCAGGCTTGAAGTTAACACCTCATACAGCATGGAAAGTGTGAATCTCAATGGAGGTGTACTTAGATGCAGAGGCAGAACACGCTCACAGGATGTTAAGTCAATCCTTCCGTCCTATGAAGGCTGACATGCCACCAAAACGTAGCTCACAGATTCCTGAATGGCACATGTGCTGAAGGCGGCATGGAAAAGCAGTCCTTTGTGATTTTCCAGTTAGAATGAAGGTGAATGGCGTGTTTTTTTTTTTTACTGTATGGTTTTCCATTTCTCACTAAAATGAATGTCCAAGGCGAAAACTCCAATTCTTATATTAAATCTTTAATAAAAGAATGACCATACCAAACACAAAGTACAGAGTTTCTAGAAAAAAAGCATTTCAATACTTGCATAGAACAACCTTTCAATAGAACACAAACACACACACACACACACACACACACACACACACACACACACAGTGGGTCTGGAGACGTCATTTCAGATCAACAAACCGGTGCTCAACCCACTCCCACCAGAAAGTGCTCACTGAGGCTGCTGGGAATTGAAAAACTACAGTTTGTGGTACTCGATGAAAACAATTGAGAATACCAATACATCGATAATGTTAATCTCCATGGATAACTTATAATGAGACAGTCTCACATCTGTACAGGAAGCACACATCTGTACAGATTGAACAGAAATAGTGATTAAAAATCAGCTCTAGCAGCTTAAGACATTTTTTTTCCTTTGTTGAAGTGCCTTTAAGCAACAAACAAAAAAGGGAAGAAGAAAAGATTGTTGCAGATGTACCTGTGCTGCCTTGTACCCTGCACTATACAGATGTGCACTTCCTAATATGGATTGTCCATAATGATGTTACATATCAAACATTTCTAATGGAAGCTTGGCCCTGAACAGAGATACTTAAAACTATCATCAATACCAGATGACAAAGAACAATAAAGGCAAATGGACAGAAAAAAAAAATACAAGGCCAAACTGGCCACGTGGCTCGGCCCTATTTGGTTAATAAATCGGGTTAATTCATTATTAAGATTATTATTACAATATCTCCAAAGCTGGCTTTCCATGCTGGGTCAAACCCAGACTTGAGCCAGTAAAACAGTCACTTATTGCATTTCAATAACATCCACTGCTGCTTTACAGCACAGAAAGAGTACACAACAGTGTCGACAGTGCACACACAATTAACCTCATGAGGAAATGTACCGGTGTGGGTTCTTTTTGCATCTAGATTAGCAACAAAGCCCTGTATATTTTTCAGACTCAAAGATTGAGCCGTTCCTATTGAAATACTATGACAAACCAACCGCGACAAATAAATCCTCCATGTTCAGTCCCTGTATGGTCTCAAACTCTCTTGACAATTTACTTACCCTTTCGGTGAGGCACTTAAAACAGCCAAACTCCACTTTACATCCACAAATATATCCCTCTGTCTGACTCCATATACTCTGCATGAAACTGCTGGGAGGCTGCTAACAAAAAAAAAATCTATATTAAAGTCATTTTCTTCCTATTCTGCGATGACAAAATACATTTTTTTTCCCTTGGCCAAAACCTTGATGTTTTTTCTACACACCAGTATAGCTTAGTAATAAAACAGACACCTCAATAAATGCTTGGGTGTAAAATAAATAAAGAATATCTTTATGAACCCAAAAGGCTACGCATTTTATGTTAAACTATTACATGAGTACATTTTAGTAAGAAAAGAAGGGGTCACTTCTTGCGCCCTCTTGTATCATAAATGATAAATCGTTGAGCCTTTTCTATTCTATGTTGAGGAGTCATCCCTGAAAGCTTTGGACTAGTTATACCTGTTCATCTTGATGATCATATTTCTGATGCAGAATTCATCCTGTAGGAACGCTGTACATTCATGCAGTTTTTAAATAAACCGTAAAGGTGTTTTTTTTTTTTAGTTTTTTTTTTAATGAAACGATTGAATGGTACATGATGGTCTAATCTGATTTGACGTGCCTACAAAAAAAGGTCCTGGAAAGTTGAAATATGAATGTCTTGAGTGTTGCAGAAAGCTCATCATCACACATGCTCATGAAAGCTCAAAGAATTCTCTTCTCACTGGGAGGTTTTGTGAAGTACAAAATGAAAATGATGAAGGAAAAAAAAAAAAAAAGAGTCAAGGTGTTAAGGGAAGTCAAATCCACTCTCCTCTGGTAACAGAAGTGCATGCAGGAGAACATGTGGTGGACTCGATGGCTTTGTACTCCTTTTCTTTTTTTCCAACTGAAGCAAAAAGAAGGAGCAGAGAACACTGCCTGTCCTCGTTCTGAATAGCTCCATTAGCTGGGGTTTTCACAGTGCCAGCAAGCCAGGAGGCAGTAATGTTTGAAAACTGAATACTTGCATCAGTCTGGGTTCTGCTAGGCTGGTAATTGAAGAGGCATGTTTGCAGTCTCAAAGTGAGAAGCTGGATCGGGAAGACGGATTAGATGTCATCAAAGTGTCACAGCTCGCTCCAGCATTCGCAGCGAGAAAAAAACCTGGAGCATATTCGCTGAGGAAGCGAGTCCAACTAAGCGTACGATGATGTTAAAATTTAGAGACACGAAATCGACAGACACACACTCACGCGCACACACAAACCGAAATCTGTTTCTCCCCAAGCATGCTTGCATAATTTTACCGATACACTCTCTCGCACACTGACACACCAGGATGAGTATGATTGAACGGATGTGTTCAGTGGCCGCCGTCTTCCCAAGAACAGTCATTCTTCTGCTTGGCCAGTTTTCGAACAACTCTCTCCAGGTCTTTGCGAGACTTCTGCTCCTCCTCCAGGAACTGTTTCATCCACTTGTTCTCCTGTGAAACATACAGACAAAGACAGCTTTGAAAGTGTGGGTGAGACTGATCAGCATCCAATATTACTTCGCTTTATTCCATCTGTAACAGCAGCCAGGATGGCATGGCAAAATAGTAAAGGTTTTATACAGGGCTAAAATTATTATTATTTTTATTATAATTTTTATTCATTAAGTTGTAGTTCCTTATTTTCTAAATCAACAGTTATTGTTTGACTATGACTGTAGGTTTCTGGTTAAATTGGAAATAAGTCAGGCAGGCTTCCATCCGTCGATCCGTTATCTGTAGAGCTTAACCTGTTCGAGGTCGCGGGTGACTGGAGACAGACTACCAAAAACACTTACATTCACACCTACGGGCTATTTTAGAGTCACCATTTAACCATTACCAGACTGTGGGAGGAAGCCGGAGTACCCATGCATGCACAGGGAGAACATGCAGACTCCACACAGAAAGACACCTGTCCGACGGGCATTAGAACCAGGAACCTTCTCGCTGTGAGGTAACAGCCCTTACCACCTCAGGCAGGCTTATTTTATCAAGAAATAAATGAAGTGTAAATGGGGAGTTTTAGCCATATCATTTCAATATGCTGTTGAAAATAAGTTATGGAGTAAGGCAAATGCTTGTTGAACATTTTAAGAGTAAAAAAACATATATATATGGACCTATGGGTCTGAAATAAAGCATAAAGTTAAGTATATAATCAGTTAAGCCGTCGTCGTATTTCAGAATTAAAAAAGGACACATAAACATGTTTCTGAGAGAGGTACACCATAGTCAATATAAAAACTGTGACTGAAACGTTCCCCAACTCACACTTACCTTTTTCAGCTCGTGAACCTCATCCTTTAAAGCATAAACAGCATCAACCAGGCTCCTGAAAGAAACCAAAAGAAAGCACAGTCAACTCTCCTGGACACCTATATTGAGCGTGTTCATTTGAAACACCTCATCAAATCAGAAGGTAAAAGCAATATTTGCCAACTCAGTCGTAAATCCAGGTTATTCTGGCTTCTAGTTCAAGGTCATATTGTGTGAAGATTACAGCCTAGACAGGATCAATAACACATTTCTGAACC